TTGTTTCAACTAAATCATGTTCTGCCATCTATTCGATCTTGTTAGGTAGGTAATGCATTGTTTTCCTCTGTTCTGTGAGTAATGGTTTTTTCCAAGCCTTCTTTCCTCATATGCTCTAGAAATTTCAACTATCTCTTTTTGATGTTAAGTATAAGTGTCTTTTTTGTTTCCATTTTCTCTAAAACTTTGTCGTTGCTCATCTGTTCAGCCCATGACATTCTTGGCATCCCTCTGTAGGACCACATTTCTGTTGCTTCAAGCCTTTTCATCTTTGAGGAGATTGTCCAGCTTTCACTGATATTACGTAACAGTTCAGTACTCTTTTCTTTGTTTCTAACAAAATTTTCCTGTTTCTTAATGCATTGCTTAACTTTTGGAAGACATCTTTCACTATCCCAATGCGCCTTTAGATTTCAGTGTCATACTTTTCTCTCTTAAAACAATTCCCAGGTAATTAAATTGTTGTACATATTCAATTTTGTTATCTTGAAATTGTAATCTGCATGTTGGGCTGTTCCTTTTGCTGACAACCATTGCATTCTGTCTTCTTACGATTCATGCTTATTCCTTTCTTCTCCCTTTCCTTCACTTTCCTTCTGTAGGAGTTCTTGTAGTTCCCTTTCTATATCTGCCATCAATACTGTATCATCTGCATATCTTATGCAGTTAATATTGTGGCTGCTAATAATGAATCCTAATAAGACTTCTCATTCCTTAAGAATTACCTCTCTGTTTAAGGTCGAATAAATCCGGTAAGAAGACACATCCTAGTCTTAACCCATTTCTAGTTTTGTATAGTTACTGAATTCATTTTTCTGTCTGTATGAATATTTGCTTCCCTTATAGGTTTTGGATTATTCTAATATCCTTCTCAATTATGTCAAGGTTATCAGACACTTTTGCTTATTCTATAAAACATAGGTACACATCCTCTGCATTTGTATTGCTCTTTCTGATACCATTCTGAGCATAACTATTGCTTGTTCCAGTGTCTTTAACAAACTTCCACTGTTTGTGTCCTATTTTCAGTTTGTTTCTGTTGTGCTCTATTCATCAGAATTCGGATTATAAGTTTTGTTATATGGCTTATTAGCCTTTATTGTCTACTGGAGTTCACATTCATTTGCACCTGGCATCTTAGGCAGTGCTATGAAAATGGATTTACTTAGGTTTCCCAGTATATATTTCCCACTGTTATATATTTTGTTTATTATGTCTCTAATCTTGTCAATGTCCAAATTGTCTAAGGCTGCCATCATCTCTATTTCTATTCTCTCTGCTCTTTCTGCTTTGACCATGTTCAATATGGCCAGTGCAGATTTCACATTAATATTTCTGTTCCTTCAATGTTTCTGTGTATTGCCAATTGTTCATTTTCATCATGGAATAATTTTATGAGGTATTTGTTAATTTCTCTATCTCTACTATCAGTGTCCTTGGATTTTATACTTCCTCTTAATGAGTATGTCTTTTGTCCTGTTTTTATTTTTTTTATGCATATCTGCTTTATCTGTGATATACATTCTTTCTATTTCTGCATGTTTTTCTTGAATCATTTCTCTTTAGCCTGCCTGCATTTATTCCTAATTCCTTTGTTAATTTTCCTATATTCTGTGCCATACCTTGGCATTATTTTGGCTCCTTTTCATCATGACGAGAATTTTATCTGTCATCCATTGCTTTTTTTTTTATTTGTCTAGTTTTCTTTGGGATGATTTCAATTAATGATGTTACTAAAGCTTCTTTGAATGTGTCTCACTTTGAGTTTTCATTCTCATTTTGTCCATTGTATCTGCCATTGTCCCTATATTTCTTCTTCCCATTTGGATCATTCAGGAGTTTACTGTATTGCAATTTAGGTGCTGCCTTGACCCTCTTCAATTTCCATAGTTTATATTGCTGGAAAGTGGTTGTTCACACAATTAACACTTGGGTATGTCTTGCAGTATAAAACTGCATTCTTGAATTTCTTATTGATTTATATAGTCGATTTGTTTTTTGTTCTTCCTCCTGGGCATTTCCAGATATGTCTTGGATGATCATGAAACCAGATGTTGGTTAATACCTGATCATTCACGGTGAACCATTAAACCCATTTTTCTCCATTTTTTTTTTTTTTTTTTTTTTTTTTAATTTCTTCTTCTGTAATTTGTGCATATACAACTATGATAGATATATTAAAAGCTTTTCTTTCAATTTAACTACAAGAATTCTTTCAGATAGTTGATAGTATCCCAGGACACGTTTCTTCCTGTCTTGGTCTAAAATCAATCCTACTCTCCCCTCATTTTTCTCTCTGTATATATGATCCTGTGTTTATCACTGTGTTTGTCCACCTCATTTCACATATGCCTAAAATATTAACATTTAACATATTCATTTCTTGCTTTATAATTTCTAACTGGCCACATTGATTTAATGTTCTGACATTCCATGTTCCAAGAATTGTTTTTGTTTCATGTGAACTGCTGCTGGATGACAGTCCAGTAACACCTGTCACTCATGTTTTTCATTGCCAGGCGAGGGATCAATTCCAAGGAGTTTGACCCCCTTTATGCCATTGTCTTTGCTAATAATTGCTGGATGACAATCAGGTGCCACCTGTTGCACATGTCTTGCCTTACCAGGTGAGGAGTCAATTCCAATAGGCTTAACTCCTTTCATGTCATTATCTTTTGTAATTTGATTAAGAACCCTGAATTTTCTTAGGATTGATAGTGGAGTGGTTTTCCATTCCCTTCTTCATGGTGATTTTATTGAGACATCACCTCTAGTTAGCTCACTGTTTACTTGTCAAGAGTTCTTCCACCTTTTATAGGTTTTATTTTTCCTTCTACAGGTTAGCTAACAACCTGCCTCACTTGCAAGAAATTGAAGTGGAAGTGCTGCTCTAGTTGCAGACTATTCAATAATAGCACGTGCACACACACACACGTGTGTTCAAAAAATATCTGATTTTATTTTTTCCTGCCAAAACATATGCAGCATGAGCATAATCCTTTGGGTGGGAGATGACAACAGCTTTCCTCGCTCATTCATTAAAATTTATGTGGTGGTAGGCTGTGACAATTCCTGGCTGTTATGCCTAGAGTACAGATGTGTAGTGCACACTTGTATTTTTGTTTTCATGCAAGATGACTGAATGCATCTCCTATGACTATTTGCCGAACCTTCTTAATCAGCTCCTTGTTTTGGCTTGTGGATGGCCTGTCTGAGTGTGCCTCACTCTCCACTGATGTGCATCCATGGTTGAAGTGATTATACCACTCTTTGATCTGAGATTTGCTCGTAACATCATCCCCAAAGGCCTGTTGAATCTTCTGGATGGTTTGAGCCTGTGTATCACCAAGCTTTTGGCAAAACTTGATGTAATAATTTTGGTCAATGTGTTCAGTCATCTTGTGTGAAAGTGAAAATTCAATAAGTCTGTAATTTAGGTGTAACTGCCTGGAACTGACACAGCCTACCAATGCAAAAATTTTTATGCATGTGCTCAAAAGATTTTGTCCATATAGCATTAATTTTGGCGGAAAAAATAGTCAGATAAGCTTGGAACACACCTTGTTTGTGTATATCGGATAGTCGGCAACTAAACTGACACAATAATACACAAACAGTAATAATGATGTTTGTTATAAAATGTTAGAAAACATTGTTCAATTTTCTGTTCAGGAAAATAATGTTGCAACACCCTGAAATATAGATACAGATTTTGAACTGGGTGCAGTATACACATTTTAGGCACATAAAATATTTTGGTAAAATTTTCAGTCTTTGGCTATCTTATTATGCAGTAATATTTTACTCAGTGCACAGTCTCTTATTTGATATTTAGATGAAAATACATACTGTGATAAGGATCATTTCGGTGAAAAAGTCTAATGCAAACAGGGTTCATGTTATGAGCAATCAGAGCTATTTTTATTTTATTTATTTACTTCTTGAGAGAGAGAGAAATAGGTATGATTATGTGTCTTTGGAAGGTCATTCCATTCTTGTGCATGATAGATGTGTCGTGTTAGCAACGTTGGTTAAATGACAATTTGTGCACATATAGGCCACATTCTAGAGAGTCACATAGTACAGCTACTGACCAAACTTTGAATTGTAAAAGTTGCAGTGACAACCACACACCAATCACATAAATTGAATTGTCAGTTGGTGTGGGGTGCCATGAATTACGATTCTTGCTCATCTTTTGGTCTGATTGTTCAACTTTTTTGTTCTAATTTGTGCAACAGAGTGGTGATGTAGTGTTCCAGCAGGATAATGCCTGCTAAATAACTTCCATGGCTGATACAATTGCCAGAATTGAACATGTATTGGACAACACATGACTTGTTCAGTTAGCTTACCTACAACTTGTGTTGTATTGTTAACATAATACAGCAAGAGTTGTGGTATAATGAAGTCAAGATGGTATTCACCATTTCTAAGTTTGTATACATGTGAGAGAGTACAACCCAAGAAGGGTATAAAGTATATTAAGGGATTTGAGTATCGTGGATAAACCCTTAGTGTGCACAGGTTCTAAAAATAAAGAAACTCTGCTATATTGCCTTGAACAATTGAAATGTATGTTTAGCGAGTTGCACTTGTATCTTTATCTGCAAGAAATTAAATTCTCATTTTTGATATAGCAATTAGAATTGGTTGTTATCTTCTTGTGTATTTTGAATATAAATATAAACTGTGAAATCCAAAATTGTAACATTTAAGAATTGTTTAAAATTGTAAGAAAATGCTTAGCATATTTTAGTACTATTTCATTTTTGATTTAATGTGAGATCAAGTGAAAACTAGTCTGCCTATTTTTCCAGTTTAATAAATTTTATATTGGATATTTGTAATTTAACTTTGATGTTCTTTTTAATCGGATAATACAAGACTGTTATACTAAAAAAAATCTTGGTGAATGTTATTCCTTTAAATGTTAAATTTTGTAATTTCAAAATTATTGACTTGAATATTTTTTTTTTTTTTTTTTTTTTTTTTTGTAGCTTTGAAAAATGGTCCATTCCAACTACCACACACTGTGTATTACTTCTTGCTGATTCGACCAATGATAACAGTGGCCCCTCTCTATCACCATATCAGCAGTAGAAGTCTGGGCAGTGCATCAGGTGGCAGTAGCGGTGTTGGTAGTGGTAGAGACCAGAAAGGTGGTGGCCCAGCCAGTAGTGGAAGTGGTGGTGGGGGAGGCGATAAAAAAGGTGGTTCCAACCAACTCTGTTGTCCTAAATGTGGAGACCCATGTACTCATGTAGAGACATTTGTCTGTAAGTATACAGTCTTTCCTTCATTGAGTCTAATCTTCATTGCCAATTTAAAAGTATTATTGTCTAGCTTTGACTGGCATGAAAAAATATTTCAAACATCTCTTGTAATAGCTTAAAACACATTCTTTAAATTTATATTGTGTGAAGATATTTCACATATTTGCTTAATTCCATTAAGGTCTTCAGTAATGTATGTTTGACTTGCTGATTAACTAATAGTACTGTATTACTTTCTCCTCCCAGTTCACTTCAATGTTCATATGTAAAAATACACTGGAAGTTTTACACTAACTTTCAACTTGAGAAAATCATAGAAATTTTATTTTTGTCTTTGCTCCATCTTTGAAAATTCAACTAGTAATTACTATGAAAAGCTTGCAATTGTTTTTCTGTTATCAATCTATAAAATCTACATTTTTTTTTTTTTTTTTTTTTTTTTTCAAGCATCTACAAGATTTGTCAAATGTGAAAAGTGTCACCACTTTTTCGTTGTGTTATCTGAAGCAGATTCAAAGAAGAGTTTCAAAGAAAACAAAGATGACCGAACAGGACTAAAAAAGAAGCCACCACCTCCACCCAAAAAGGTACTGCCTTTCTTCATTTTGAGTTGTGTTTTTTGTTTGTTTTTTTTTTTGTTTTTTCTCATTCTCTCTCAAATTTCTTTGGTTGGAGAGATGTGGTGTCTCTCAAAACACTATTTCCAAAAGCTGTAACATCAAGATAGCTATAAAAATGGTTTTCAAAATATCCCTGTTGAATTGTGATAATTTTTTTTTTTTATAAATGTTGTTAAAATGATTATCTAAGATTCTACTTAGAGAATGTAATTTGTTCATATTGAACAAGATCATTCTTCAGATTTTAAACAATTGCATGAAATTCATTGTTTAATATTATTCTTTTTTCTTTCTTTTTTAGTTAAAGCATCATTGATATTCTTATTTCAATAGGAAAACTTTAGCAAGTACTACTTATAAGTGGATATAGTTTTTTATTCTTTACTTTTTACAGATTTGACAAGCAATTGGACAAGTTGTGATTTCAACTAATCACAATTATATCTAGTAAAGAAAAATAGAACGGTTATTGAATATTGGGGGAGATGTGTAATATTGTAATGACAGAAGAAGAATGATTAGAAAAATATCAATTGCATTTACTTTTTTTTTTTTTTTTTTTTTTTTTTTTTTTTTCAGATTTATGAATATTTGGATAAATATGTAATTGGTCAGGAATATGCCAAGAAAGTTCTCTCTGTTGCTGTGTATAATCATTATAAGCGAATTTATAATAATCAGCCTCCCCCACCACCATCAGCCACAAAAAGCACGCAAGAAGCCACGTCAACTGTAGAAAACTCCCGCCAATTTCCAAATACCTTCACACCTAGAGGTAAGATCTCATTATAAAAAGTCTGTGAAGAGTTATGCCAGTATGCTGTATGACCTGTAAATACATTACAAGGTAGTTCCATTGTGAACCATTGTCAGTGAATTTATCGTCAGTTTTGTTTTTCATTGCAAGAGTATGCTATTTGTGGAGAAATAACACATTACAAAATAAAATCTAAACATAAGCCAGCAGTAATCCAACAGATCATCAAGGAATTATAACTATTGTAAAATACTTGCTTACTTCAGAAACGTTATTCCTCAATCTTTTTTTAGAATTTTTCTGCCTACTTCCAACATTTACAATAATGTTATCTTTTTTTGTTTCAGTTTTCTGTTGAAATAGTTTTTTAATATAATGTATTTATTCTGTGGTAATAAAAAACACACACACACACACACACACACACACACACACATACATATATATATATATATATATATATATATATATATATATATAATTAATGGATTTATTTTAATCCAACATTTTAACATTTGAAGTAATATCTTGTTGCTTCTGTTTGATTGTCATGGATTCTGTGCTTTTGAACACTTTTGGGGTGGACACATAATTTTGGTGTTCTGGTTAGTGGCTTAAGAGTGGTGTTAACATCTTTACAAGCCTCATAAATTTTGCCATATAGTTGTTTTTCCCCCCTTGCTGATTTTGATTGGTATATGTCCTATCTGTGTATATGCTGTCCACCTGTAGTGTAACATCTTCAGTTCACCATGGAGGAATAAATAATCTTGATACCAAAGACATTCACCAACTGCCTGACAAATCTGCATTTCATACAGATGAAACTTTGTCATCGTTGACTGTTCTACCAACACCATTTTTATTAAAATTAATATTTTGAACCTTGGTTTTATGTGTCTGAATGGCACTCCTTAGGGATTGAATTTGTTTGTTTAAAAAAAAATGTAGCCTTCTTTTCAGAATTTGAACTTGGAATATTGCCTTCCCACCCCAATCTCCATTACATATTCTGAACACACAATCATCCACACATATTTACAGAGTATTGGGGTTGCGATAGCTTGTGAAATCCTTTTCTTTAGTGCTTTGTTATTTAGTTGAGCCCATTTTTCTTTCCTAGATTTATTACAGATTGCAGTTACTGGAAGTGCTCCAAGTCTCCAGCAGCAACAACAACAACAACAGCAGCCACCACAGTCTATTCATCACTTGGGTGATGACAACCTGCAAGGCTCAGTTGTGTTGGATTCAAATACTTATGATTTCAAATTGGAGAAAAGTAATATCCTTATGTTGGGACCAACAGGTTCAGGTCAGTTTTCAAAAGATTTTCCAATACAAGAATTTTTCTTATAATCATGTTAGAGTAGCTGTATATATTTTTTATTTTTTCAGGATTTGAGATATTCATTAGAGAAGTATGTTATTGCTGTTTTAGATGAAATATGAAATTATTACAAATTTTACAATGACGTCTTTTCATTAGGGTTTGACACAACTGACTGAGATGGTAGGAAAGCTTTTAATTTATCTGGAAAAGTAATCAGTAACTTCTACTGGGAACAAACAGCTTGTATGTGGATCAAAAATGGGTTCAGTGAATACACACTAATAGAAAAAAGTAATACAGCAAGTATGTGTTTTTCTCTGGATTTATTCAACCTGTAGATCCTAACAGAATGAGAAAGACATACCAGGATTTATTATTGGCAGATATGACCTTAAAAGATACACGAACAACTCTGTGTTGATGAAAGACGCAGAAAAGAAAACTGGAAAATCTCTTAGAAATGGTAGTCAGGGGAAGTTAAATGGTTAGCTCCTTCTTGTAAGGTGCTAACCATTTAACTGTAAGAAGACAGTGTGCATAGTTATCAATCAGGGAGACAGCCAAACTGATCCACCATGTACTGGTGGCATCAAAATTGAGAAGGTACTGGAACTTGACTCTGAGTAGTGTAGTAACAGATGATACAAATTTGAAGGCACATAGGAATAGTGAAAGATACCTTTTTGAAACAAAGAAAAATGTCCTTAGAAACAGTACTTAACTGCTGTCTAATATCTAATTTCCTATCTGACAGTGAATGCTGAAGGATCTCTTCAAACATGAAGAAGAAACTTAAAATGAGGTGTGGTTCTCCTGATGTGTGAAGAACATGTAAGCAATGAGGAAATTTTGAAGAGAATAGCAACTACAAGGAAATGTTTGGTAACAAAAAGTTAATTGAAATTTCTGAGAAAGGGGAAAGAAGACTTAGAGAATTTAACACTCATAAGACATATTGAAGGTAAGAGAAGCAAGGGAAACTGAGTAACCTATTTGACAAGCTTTATTGAATGGGTGACTGAACAAAGATAAAGAATAGTAGTAAAAGTGCTACATTTGATTCGAGTAACGAAAGACAGAATATGAAAAGCTATGATTGTCCACATCTTGAAAGGACATGGCTTATAAGCTTCTGATCTTTATTTTTACACTGTTTTGACAAATCATACCAGTTAGAATGTAATGATAAAAACAACCAAGATAAAGATATTTGTCCCATGAATTTGTCAATAGCTCCATTTAAGGACTTTAATTGAATTTATTCAAAACAATCAACTTTACTGAAATTATGAAGAATCTTCAAGTAAATGTTTTTGTTTTACTTTCTAGTAATTATTTGTTTAAATATACAAACATCAGTTTTTCTCAGTTTTATTTACTAGAAGTACATGATATATAGATTTGGTTACATTTCTAACAAATTTATTTATACAGGCTTTGTTTAATTTTTTTTTTTTTTTCTTTTAGTTTTGTATTTTCAGTTATCTATTTCTCTTTCTTTTTTAAAAGATATGAACATTTATTTGAAAGTTGATATTTGTATTGTTTGGTATTAGCATTTGAAAGATTTATATTTAACACTTAGTCTCTGAGTTTTTAATTACTTTCACTACAATTCAGGCCTGGGTTAATGAGAGATTAGCTAACCTGATGCTTTAAGTGTCCTAGCAGATGAATCTGATCTGTTGGCTGCTGTGGTATAAATTTCTGTTCTTTGTCGCGGGTTAATTGAACCCTAATTTACAATTAGAATGAAAGGGGAGGTACATTTAGTTGCACAAAAAAACTTGAATGTTCCACCAGTTACAGGTGAGGAAGGTGTAACTTTGATCAGTTTTGCTTTGCATTTTTTGCCGTTAGTAGAACAGGTGAAAATCAAAACCAACCAGAATCTGTTATCTGATGAAAGATTGTCAATCTGAAGTCTTTTTATCTGTCACTCACTGGATCTGACTAGCATTATATTTTTGACTAAGAATAAATTGTTGACTTTTTATGTTGCAGGTAAAACCTTGTTAGCCCAGACTCTTGCCAAATGTTTGGATGTTCCATTTGCAATCTGTGACTGCACTACTTTGACTCAGGCAGGTTATGTGGGAGAAGACATAGAATCTGTGATAGCAAAGCTTTTGCAAGATAGCAACTACAATGTTGACAAAACACAACAAGGTAAGGCAGGCATTTTTGTTTGTTTTTGTGCTCCAAGAAAGAAATGGACTGTAAATAGTTGTAATCAGACTTTCTCTTTAGTCAATATTTTTATAGCACTTTTGACTGCTCAACCGTAATGGCTAACAATTTCTAGGTTACATTGTACAAATTAGTTTGGTACTGAACAAACATTTGAAAACTTGAAACTGTTAGACTTAAGTACCAATACAAGTGAAAAAATGAAAGTTACCCCAACCATTCAGTTTTGAAACTTTTGTCTGCATCTTATAATTTACCATTTTTAATATTCACTCAAAAATCTGGAGATGGCTACCTAATATCAAACTAAATTCTAAACAAGGATTAGAATGACATTTCCTTTTCTTACTTTACCTGCAAATTTTTGTGAAAAAAAAACTTTTTCACTTGCCTCAATTCTAAATTTATAATTTATTAACCCACCGACTATGGCAGAAATTTCCCTCAATCCCAGTTGAGCTATAAATCTGTAATGGTGGAAATTTCTGTCTGATGTTGTTATTGGATTTAATTAGACCAATCATTTGGCACACAGTATAATAATCTTTGGCGCAAAGTTTTTAATGTTCTTTAATAACAAAAATGTAATTTCATCCAGAAGAAATTGCTAAAGAAAATCTAGTGGATGAATGTACACAATTTTGCATTTGGAAAAGTACATGCTTGAATGTGTTAAAAGCAAAACATTGCCAAAAGAAAATTCAGCTCCACTGGAATTATTTGAAAACCTCAGTTCTTAACACATGTGTTGGGTAAGTGGAAGATGTTAAGCCTGTAGATATGTAAGCATTAAGACAGAAGCTTAAGTTGGTTAATGCTAGTTGTCAGCTCGGATTTACAGGGACCAATTTTTGTTTTCATTGAGACAAGTTTCATTTATTCTTCAAAATGATTTCAATTTTTCTTTTTTTTTCTTTTCTTTTCTCCCACTCAGAAAAATTCATTATTGAAATTAATGGCAGTTGAAAGTAATCAGTCATCACTTGTGAAATACAGGATTAATGTGTGTGTTATGCAAAAAAAAAAAATTCCCAGTTTACATTAATATATCAAGGATATAGTAAAACCTTTACACAGATAGAACAGACTAACTGAAAGAAAGGAATGGCAAACATGAATTGTTCTCAAAGGGATTTTTTTTTATAATGATATATACATACATATCACTAATTTGTCCTACACAGAGAAATGAGATATATATATATATATATATATATATATATATATATATACACACACACAACAGGCAGTGTGAAAGGGGCAAAAACAGAGAGGGTCTTACTTGTAATATTTCCCATTAGGGAAAATGGCAGGTCTATGATGTCCTTTGTTTTTGGTATGACCTTGTAGTTTTCTTTGTATGCTCTACTGTTGTGATCTTGTTCTGTCTGCCTTCATTGCAGCCCTCAACTCATGAGCAGACACCTCTTGTGTCTTCCGCATGCTAAATAGCAACTTGCCTGGGCAGATGCATCTTGCTTGCCTTAAAAAGCAGCATTCAAAATCCTGGTTCAAATCTCTGGCAACTGCTTAAAATGATGCATAACTGTTTTGGCACAAAAATTTTCCACAGTCTTTTGTTCTTTTTAATGAAAATATATATATTTAAAACAAAACCTACATTGAAAAAATATTAGTTTAGAACCTGAAACATTGCCATTTTGAGAACTGGATGTTTTACTTTATTCATAAATATTTGAGATCCTTATTTGAATGTTTTGTAGTGCTTTTTCAATATATGGTGGCTTATTGATTGCTAGAATATTAAGCAAGAAATTTATGTAATTGATAATTATTTGAATGTTATGACTTTATTTTTTGACATAGCCTTAGATCAGTACAGCTTGGTTTGACAAATTAGGGTTTCATTTGGAGCTCTATAAGCATCCAATTTTATGGATGTCAAAAAAATCATTCCCTCAAAATTGGTTTTCACTTGACTTGAATTATGAATGAAATAAAAGTATCTCTAGGTACAAAAGACATTTGCTTCAGATTTATTGATCTTCCTCATATATTGTATGTAAGTTTTATTTGTATGACTTCAGGAATAGTATTCCTTGATGAAGTGGATAAAATAGGAAGTGTTCCTGGCATCCATCAGCTTCGAGATGTTGGAGGAGAAGGTGTGCAGCAGGTGAGTAGTTTTCTTTAGGAATTGCTTTCTCCAAAATAATTTCTCTTTTCTTTAATGTCTCCAAGTAATTACAAAGAGTGTTATGGAAATCACCTTTTTAAAAAGTTAAAATACTGTGACATTCTGACCTGTATTCTAAAATGTTGCTACTACTCTTTAAAATAAATGATCAAATTTTTCAGTTCCCATTCAGTATATTTTCCATTTTTGTTGTTTAGTGAATATTGAAGTTAAAATGACAAATGCTAACATTTTCTATACTTGTTTTTATTGAGAGAAAAATAACTTAGGATCTTTTTGTTATTAATTACAAGATGGGCTATGAGGTACTTAATATCCTGACACTTTCAGAATGATATACATTTTAAATATTAGGTAGTAGTTGCCAGTCTCATTCTATTGTTTGTACAACAAGCCCTCCCAACTTACTTTCTCTCTCTCTCTCGTGTTTCCTCTCTCTCTCTCGTGTTTCCTCTCTCTCTCGTGTTTCCTCTCTCTCTCTCGTGTTTCCTCTCTCTCTAAATTTTTCTCTCTCTCTAAATGTTTCCTCTCTCTCTCTAAATGTTTCCTCTCTCTCTCTCTGTTTCTCTCTCTCTCTCTCTTGTTTCCTCTCTCTCTCTCTTTTCCTTTCTCTCTCTCTCTCTCTCTTGTGTTTCCTCTCTCTCTCTCTCTCTTGTTTTTCCTCTCTCTCTCTCTCTCTTGTGTTTCCTCTCTCTCTCTCTCTCTCTCTCTTGTGTTTCTCTCTCTCTCTCTCTCTTGTTTTCCTCTCTCTCTCTCTTGTTCCTCTCTCTCTCTCTCTCTTGTGTTTTCTCTCTCTCTCTCTCTCTTGTGTTTCCTCTCTCTCTCTCTCTCTTGTGTTTCCTCTCTCTCTCTCTCTCTCTCTTGTTTCCTCTCTCTCTCTCTCTCTCTCTTTCCTCTTCTCTCTCTCTCTCTCTCTCTTGTGTTTCCTCTCTCTCTCTCTCTCTTGTGTTTCCTCTCTCTCTCTCTCTCTTGTGTTTCCTCTCTCTCTCTCTCTCTCTTGCCCTCCCATTCTCTCTCTCTTCATCCTAGATAAGACAAACTAAGCCCAGCAGCAAGGCCTCTAATCAGGAGGTTTTGAGGAGCGTGGAACCACCTCTTAATTGCTGGTGTTCCTAGGTTCACCCTGACCCGGGGTGATAGCACCTGTTAGGGTCCTAGCTATAGGCAAATAGTTAACTATTACTAGCAATACAATTTTGAAGGAAATATATTACCAGAAACAGATTTTTGACAAAACAAAATATTACCAGCAATAAAAAAAAAAAAATTTGTCTGCATTAAATAACCCATTGAGGTTGATATGCTGTTAAATAAACCAAACCAAACCCCCTCCCTCCCTCTCTGCTACACTCTCTCGCTCTTCCCCCCCTCTTATTTCTCTCCTTCCCTCTTTTTTCTCTCCTTCCCTCTTTTTTCTCTCCTTTACTCTTTTGCATCCTTTCTCTCTCTTGCCCTCTTTTGCACCCTTTCTCTCTCTCTCGCCCTCTTTTGCCCTTTCTCTCTCTCCTCTTTTGCCTCTTTCTCTCTCTCTCTTGCCCTCTTTTTTCCTTTCTCTCTCTCTTGCCCTCTTTTGCCCTTTCTCTCTCTCTTGCCCTCTTTTGCCCCCTTTTGCTCTCTCTCTTGCCCTCTTTTGCACCCTTTCTCTCTCTCTTGCCCTCTTTTGCACCTTTCTCTCTCTCTTGCCCTCTTTTTGCACCCTTCTCTCTCTCTTTGCCCTCTTTTGCACCCTTTCTCTCTCTCTTGCCCTCTTTTGCACCCTTTCTCTCTCTCTTGCCCTCTTTTGCACCCTTTCTCTCTCTCTTGCCCTCTTTTGCACCCTTTCTCTCTCTCTTGCCCTCTTTTGCACCCTTTCTCTCTCTCTTGCCCTCTCTCACGCCTTTCTTTTCTCTCTCTCTTGCCCTCTCTCACGCCTTTCTTTTCTCTCTCTCTTGCCCTCTCTCACACCTTTCTTTTCTCTCTCTCTCTTGCCCTCTCTCACGCCTTTCTTTTCTCTCTCTCTCTCTCTCTTTATAACATCTTTTACTGCTGCCTGCCACTGGTGGTCTAACCACATTTAGTGGTCCAGTTGAGGACTGGACCACTAAATGGTTAAATTTTAAAGTCTTAAAACAACATTTTAACCACAGGGCTAACTCTCTGCTAGTCAATGTTGATGCTGGTCCAGACTGGTTGTTGGTTACTGGCTGTTTTGAACCACATCAACTCTGCCTGCATTGTGTTGTTGACCTCAGAGCAATGGAATATCATAGTAATCTCAGAAATGGTTCAAGCCATGGCAGGTGCCATATTAAAGATGAAATATATCTTCAGGATGAAAAAATAAAACAAAAGATTCATGCAGTTAATCTTCAATTGGTTTATATGGCTCTTGATACAACAAAAATGAACACTTCCTTCCTTCTCTCTCTGTCAATTTTGCTTTTCCTCTCTCTGTCAATTTTGCTTTTCCTCTCTCTGTCAATTTTGCTTTTCCTCTCTCTGTCAATTTTGCTTTTCCTCTCTCTGTCAATTTTGCTTTTCCTCTCTCTGTCAATTTTGCTTTTCCTCTCTCTGTCAATTTTGCTTTTCCTCTCATTCTCTCTGTCTGTCGGTCTTGCCCTTCCCCACTCTCTCAATCTCAATCTCTTTAACTCGATCTTGCCCTTTCTCTCTAACTCAATCTTGCCCTATGTTTTAAAACTCAGTGGGGAGTATCAAAGCAAAGTTTTCTGTAAATTTCATATTTGTCTCTACAGTTACAAATGTATGAAAATATTCTAATTTTATTTAAAATGAATGCTAGCCAAAATTAAAGTTTCTAAAACAATACCTAAAAATGTGTAAACCTACATTAATTTAAAACAGGAAAGGCATTAATTATCTGAATAAATGTTCATTATCATCCTCACTTGCCCCCCACCTAAATGTATTATACATTAATGAGATCAAAGTCATGTGATAGCAGTATACAAATGTAATGGTATGTCTTGGTCAGGGGCCTCTATCAGTTGTGCTCTTACATCTGGTGGATCATTTTGAACACTGGTTAGGGTGCTCATAGCAAAGCATTGTGAATTATCAATTTACACAGGGACATTCTGTTTCTTAAATTGTGGGGATATTTGACATTTTTGAGTAACAGTGTCATCTGTGTAGCATGAATTACTGCCCACAGATCCCTAATGATCATGACTGGAGATGTCTGGTTAGAATTGTCTATGGCTCAAATCACTTTTGCATTCAATACAGCAGGTACCAGGCATAATAAATATAGCAGATCAGTTTGGTGTTATTTAGCTTCCTTGGGAAATAGGAGCTGAAGCACCCATCAGAATGCCCTTGTTGTTAACATTCTAACACCAGACACACAGTGCCCTTCACCTGTGATATTATGGCATATTTGGGGTCTGTTCCTCATGGGTTGAGACTGCTGGCATGCTTAAGTATGTCATTGACTGGTGGCCACTATATTTTACAGATCATAACTTTTTTTTCTTTCTTTCTTTTCAACTTAGCAAAAATGTATCTGACTCTGGACGAAATCAATCACTGAAGAATGATCACAACTTTTCTCTTGAAGTGGATTCATTTTTGGTTGACTTCAAGGATTTACAATTTAGCCAAAATGTTCAATTTATTTTCTTTAACTGGCCACCCCCAAATCATTCCATGTTTGCAAATTTTTTTTTCTTAGTCCATAAAACTTGTGCATTTGCAGGCTCTTATTGTAGTAACAATTATGGTTGGGTATCATGTATCTAGAAAAATTAGGTCAATTCCTTGTAAAAACAAAATATCTGAGAATAATGTTTTCTTTATTGAAAAAAAAACATCCTTTTAAAATCTGGAAAATGTTTTTCTTTCTCACTCAAGTTCAGAAAAAAACAAACTTGAGTATGATTATTACAAATATGAAGGTTTATTTTTGTTTCTTTAAACTATCTTGCTGTGCAATTTCATTGAATTAATTACTGTCTCTGTTTTGTTAAGGGTATGCTAAAAATGTTGGAAGGAACAATTGTAAATGTGCCTGAAAGAAATTCTCGAAAATTGCGTGGAGAAACCATTCAAGTTGACACAACCAACATTCTTTTTATTGCATCTGGAGCCTTCAATGGATTGGACAGAATTGTGAATAGACGGAAAAATGAGAAGGTTGGTTATTTTTTTTTTTCCCCTCCAACCTTTTGTTTTTGTCATAATTTTGCTTTAGAGGATGGTAGTAGAATGTAATCTTATTTATTTATGCAAATGAAAATGATAGCTTGACACAATATAAGGCATAATGATTTTGATAAGATAATAGATCCTATCTATAATTTTTCATTTGTTCTCTTTTTTGTTGGGTGAATGGCAAAAACTTCGAATATTTGGGTTTCTTTCAAGTAGGAATTGAGTCCATTTGCGCAACAGCAAGAACGGTTTTGCTTTTGATTACTGTTTCTATAGACTTCAGCTTCCTAAAATGTTTTTATGTCACTAATTCTATTGTATGACTAGAAGGTATGTCCAGAAATGTTGCAGCTATTTAATATTAATGAAAAATAGTCCCTCTAGCTCAGAGGCACTTTAGGCGTCTTCAAAATATAATCCCTCAATTTTTCCCCAGGCATATATCCAAGTTTCAAACAGAACTTGATTTCTATTCTCTGTCAATGTTAGCTCTCACTCAATGCCATTTCGTTAACAACTGGGGAGTGTGTCTGTTAACAGCTGCAATAAGCTCTCCACATCTACCAGTTGGTTGCAAAGTTGCACAATTGGTTCTGGAGATATTCAGAATGGTGGAATTCTTTCAAGACAGTACTCCTTTTTGTACACATAAAATTATAGACATGTACAGGCACACTCACTGCATTCATCCTTCTACAAACCCTTTTTGTTTTTGGTTTTTATAAGGTAACCAAGAAAATCCTTGTCGTTTATGATTTATTAAAAAAAACAGGTATACAGCAAATTTGACATACCATTAGTCCTCAGAGTAATCCACCATCAGCATCCAGAACCGTTTGCCAACCTGCACAGTGCCCTGGTTGTAAAAATCAAATGTCTTGGATGCAAAGAAGTCTGTGAGTGTCTGCGGTAAGTCTGCCTCATTTGCAAAGGATTTTTCATGAAGGTGGTTTTCCAGGGACTGGAAGAGGTGGTAATATGTTGGTGCAATATCCAGGGAGTAAGGTAGATGGCACAATGTGTTCCTGCTAAGCAAGCATATGGTCATCCCTGGTCATCCGGGCCATATAAGACCTAACATTGTTATGGAGGAATGGTACAATTAACCAATGCCAATTCTGGTTCCTTCTGCTTCAGTGCCTGTTGCACACATTTCCAACTGCTGTGAGTGTAGGTTCACAGTCATGGTTTGGCCCATTGGAAGCAGCTCATACTGTATCACCAGATACAATGCATGTTCTTGCATGGGTATAGGTGGTCTTGTGGTGTGAGGCAAAGGGCCTCGTGGTGACAACCAATGTTTGGCATGCTTGCAGGTGTCATACAGGACCCACTTTTCATTACTGGTGGACACTTGATCAAATAAATATGTTAGCAGGTGGCCAGCCAATGCAGGGTTCATCATAAAGAGACACTTCAGTGTATTCACTAACAGCATTATCCCCAAAGGCTTGACATATTAGGTGACTAGATGTTGCTGTGGACAAGCCCACTTTAAAGTCTTAAAGCAGACAAGCTGTTTCAACACCACTGTGTTTTCTTGCAGTTGCATGAGCTATGATTGATAAGTGTGCAAAATACACCTGTATTAGTCAAGATCAATGCCTCTCACCCCTAGCACTTTCCTGGCATGTAACACACTCATTTGCATATCAGGGATCATATAAAAAAAAAATAACAAGGACTTTTTACTTACCTTATATTTAATCTGTTTAGTTTATTTAACTGTTTAAATTTACTTTAAAAATCCATTTGAAACAGTTTTTGTGTAAACAAGAATTTTTTTTAACAAGAGATACAAGTAGCAAATGATTTTGTTTTAACACTTTCCTACTTTTAATATTTTAGGGTTTTTTGTTTTTTTTTTGTTTCTTTTAGAAGCTAAATTATCTGTTTCTCTTAGTATTTAGGTTTTGGAGCACAATCTTCAAGCCAAGGTCGTCGAGCAGCTACAGCATCAGACATGAAGAATCAAAGTGAAAGTGAAAACACAGTAGCAGACAACGAAGAACGAGATGCCCTAACACGTCAGTCTGAAGCCCGAGATCTCATAGAATTTGGAATGATTCCCGAGTTTGTTGGTCGTTTCCCAATTGTTGTCCCATTTCACAGTCTTAATGAAGATATGCTTGTACAGATTCTCACTCAACCTCGCAATGCTCTTGTACCTCAGTACATGGCTCTCTTTAATATGGATAATGTAAGTATTCACATTCTGTTTGCCTTTCAAAATTCCTTTCCTCCAGTTTCTTTTTTTTTTTTTTTCTCTCTCTATCTCTCTTTGATTCTTTGATGATTGGGATACCCACGTGGAATGTTTGATTTTAATTCCATCTCAAGTGTTTCTATTTTATGGCCAGTGGGTGGGGTCTTTGGAGCGGTACCCATTTGACCAATGCCAAATCAAAAATGAATAAGTAAAAAAAACAAAACATTTGGGGTTCAAGTGACATCAAACTGGATATTGATGATCTCAGTGCTAGTGTATATTAACAGTCACAGTTGTGTTCAAGGAAATCAGTTCTGGTCTGCCATGTTGAGGTGCAGAATGTCCCTTAAGTAGTTGTGATGCTGCCCATTTGTATTGCCAAATTGGCAGAGAGTTGGTAGAAAGGCTGATCTGTTTGACTGACATTGGCAGAATTTGTCCCAAGTGTCTCCTACCTAAGCACCCAGACCAAACAAGCAAAACCCTGAATAAAAAACAATTTTATATTATTGGAAATTGTGTTTGAATTCTCATTTCTCAATGTGGCATTTATTTTTGTCTTTTCTTACCCTTTGAATGTGCAGTGGGCCTTTCCTAGTTCTTGGTGCAAACCAACACAAACAAGAAGTGAAACAACAGTATGAGGATTGATTTCTTAGCAAACTTGGACCATTGTGCCTACAAAAAACATAGGACTTTTTTTTCTCTCTTGACACCACTGTTATTTTAAATACCTTCATTGGCATTGTTTGTTTTAAAAAGCAACGATTAGAATTGTAATAAAACCTAAACATGATGAAAGTGACTTTATACATATTCTTTGTTCTAGAGAATTTATGACAAAAATATTAAACACTGTTTATTAGATTGTTTAGTTACAAGAATATAATTTTATATTTTCAATATTCTAAAAATTAATATATTTTATTAAAAATAAAAAATTTATCATTTTCTATAAAGATTTTTATAGAGATAAATATGAAAACAATTTTTTTATTCATAAATTTATAAACATTTACTAAATTATTAAAATATGTGAACCAACCATAAAGAAATCCTTATTACCATTTTATAAAGTTGAAATCAATTTGTAATTAGCCAATGTTTTGCCTACCATTCCTATAAACAATATAATAGTTTGAACACGTATATTATGCTCGACAAAGGTGATGTAAAAGCCAAATACATCATTTATCTACACCTTAAAATGCTGCCAATGAAGTTGGAGTCTGTCAATGCTACTAAACCTCAACTCCTAGGCTTCAACCAGCAAGGCTCAAAACAAACTGTCTTAGGTGAATCAATAAAATCTATAGAATTACTTACATACCTAGGAAGCGAGATAAATTTTGCTGAAAAAGATGTGAAAATTTGCATAACTAAAGTCTGGGGCGTTTTGAATAAAATAGATCAGATTTCGAGATTACACCCATCAGACAGCCTCGAGCAGAAATTCTTTCAAGCCAGTGTGAATGTATGGTGCCACTGTCAGGACATTAACTTAGATCTTACAGTCTAAGCTTAATGGAATTACGCTCAGATGCTGAGAGCTATCTTTAACAACTCTTAGATCACATCTCTATGAACCCATCCCTGATATTTCTACAATCTTATGTGAACACAGAATATGCTTTGCAGAACATTGCTGGTGAGCAAAACAAGAACTTGCAAGTGATCTACTGTTCTGGATACCTAGCCATGGAACAAAAAGTGTCACCTAGCAACCACCTACATTGACACAGAATGCCTCCCTAATGACCTTTTGATCTTGATGCAAGATCATGATGGTTGGCCTGATAAACTCATGAATGCCCAAGCTAAATCAACTGAATAAAATAAATAAACAATCTAATAAATAAATTATTATTTTTGTTGTCAATTCTGAAAGCACAAAGTAAATGTATACGTTTCCCTTTCATATGTTTAGGTTTTATTAAAATTTCTAATCATTCCTGAAGAAGTGAAAATAATTAAAATAATAATTGTGTCAGGTGAAAAACCATCTTTTTGCCACCACACCATTTTCTTCTTCTTTTTTTTTTTTGTGGGCACAAATTTGGCAAAGCTGGGTAAGGGTCCTATTGTCTTGTTATCTTTTATCTGCTCTGTTGTACTTTGTGAAAATAAAGCATGTTTATTTGAAAGTTTATTAATTTCCTTTCCAATTTGTCTTGACACCTTTCTTTTTAATTGTTCCTTATTACCTTGGTGTATGATTTGTCTTTGGCAGGTGGAACTTGTAGTGAAGGATGATGCTCTGAGGGCCATTGCACAATTGGCTCTTGAAAAGAAAACTGGTGCCAGAGGGCTGAGGGCCATTATGGTAAATGGACACTACATTTGTTTTTTCTAATTATAAATACTATACTCTACCATTGTTCATTTGTCTTATTGAACTTCTTAAACTAATTTAATAAACTATTTTTGTATTTAGAAAGTTACCTTAAAAAGAGAGAGTAAAATATTTAATATTTAGCCATTGACAATTCAATCTTTACTGATTATATTCATTTTTTTTGGTTTTACTCTTAATATTTCTACCAATAGGATAGAATATGATCGGTTATATTATAGTTTGACAGGATTTATATTTAAAAGAATAACTTAAAAGAAACTTCTTTTGAGTTATTCTTTTTCTACTCTGAAGTGGTAAAAATGTTGATGCTTTTGAAGTGTCTAGTGTTTTATAAAATCTCTATAATTTACTTGTATAGATATCAATATTTAAAATAGACTAAATATTAAAAAAAAAATTAACCATTACATATTTAGATATATTAGATATGTTCTTTACATCATTAAAACTTTTGTTCCATATTTGATGGTTAAGGAAAATCTTGATTTATTTTCTACAGGAAAGCATTCTGCTTGAACCAATGTTTGAAGTGCCGTGTTCTGATGTGACTGCAGTGTTAATCAATGAGGCTGTGGTGCGGAATGTAGAAGAACCTGCTTATGTACGAAAGGATGTGAATTTGTCAGAAGAAATGGAAGACTACAATGGTTATGAAGCAGAGGAACTAACTGTTCGAAACCCTTAAAATCAACAGCAGGCAGAGAAAGTCTTATTAATGACTGCTTTGGACAGACTGCTTCAAAGATAATCTGGATATTATTTTTTTTTTTAATAATTTCATTTGGTCTCCCCCTCCCCCACCCCATTCTTGTCTATCTCTTCTCTCCAAAACTAGGAACTGATGTCTATATATTTTTTTTCCTGTCAATGACAGTTGTTAACATTTGCAAGTGGTGACAGTTTTCCACTACTGCTCCCAACGATGCTGTTGCTAGACTTTGGGAACAGGTAAATGAATGTTGATTAAGATAACTAACTTGACTATCTGGCTTCTTATTTTGGTTGATTCTGTTTCTACAGTAATTCTGTGCCGTGTGAGCAACCAACTATTTTCTCAAGCAAATTATGATCATTAAGAAAAACAATCAAAAATGAAATTTTTACATAGATTTATTTCAATAAGATATCTTAAAGAAAAAAAAATTGCTTGTTTTCATTTCTCTCTCTTTTTTTTTTTTTCCTTTTTTTTTTCCTTCCTTTTTTTTCTTTTTTTTTTTTTTTTTTTTTTTAAAAACTCTGATTATCCTCTTTCTGGCCAAACAGATATAGAAGATGATCAAGTTGCTTTTTAATCATTGCAATCTTTAACCATACACCAAAATTCTCCGAACAATTTTCTTTCTGATTAGTTCAACCTATACAAAGCTACCTGGTATTGTTGCATTAGCAAATGACTATTTTTAATTTGTTCTTATCTCTTGAAACAGTGTGATTAACAAGCAACAACTCTTTCTTTGGAGAAGGTAGGGAAAGTGTCTTGCGCCATGTTTGTTACATCACTGCCATATTGTCTCTCATAAAGCAAGGGGAGAGAACTCTGATATTTTGCGGAAACCCAATAGCTTCCATCACATTCTTTGATTCCAGAAAATTGCTTCCCTATATATTTATCTCACCCAGTGGCAACTAAACAGAAAACTGGGAAAACTTAATTTTTAGTCAACTATTTCTTCTTATACAAGAACAATTTACTATCCTAAAAATTTTTATTCTGTTAATTGTTGATGTAAAGGAATACTCAAGTCCTCAAAAGTCTTTAACGTTTTCATAATTGATCTGTAAATAAGTTGACATTTGGTAGTTGCAAAGTTTTTGGAAAGAAAATTTGTGGAGGGTGAAATCTGAAATTGTATTAAAGTGTTCTTTTAATTTTTTTTTTTTTTTTTTTTTTTTCCATCATTAATGTGCATTGGGATGACTGAATTTTAAACTAATCAAGGGGAATAACTGAAATTGAAAAAAATCCCTTTATTTTTCAAATTTATTGGGGGTAGTTAGGTGTATGCATTTTTATCAAGGTGAATTAATTTTTTTAATAGATTTTTACTTTGTAAATCAACACATTGTTTGGTTGGGTAAATAGTTTTTGAGGATTTTTTAAAAAATAATTGCCTCTTGCTGAATTATGTATTTAAAATTATATTTTGATAATTTATTGTTGGGTTGGCTATTGAATGGATAGTGCAGTGTGGGCCCTTTTGCCCCCACCCCAGTAAGACTGATTTATATATCAGGTTATTTCGAGCAAAATCAAATATTTTTATTTTTTTTAAATTTATGAGCAACAAGGGAAATAACTTCAGGGTATTAAGTAATTGCTATATTTTATTGATAATTATTTTTCTCTTCATAAGCCAGTTTTTAGTTGAGAATAGCTTCATATTGCACATATTTAAAAAAATTAGTTTTTAAAAACATTGCGCATCTAGAAATAATCCAAATTATTGTCCTTATTCCAAATTTTCTTCCATTTCTGAATATTTATCTGTGTTCTAGTACAGATATTGCCACATTTTAACTTTGAATTTTCTTTATCCCAATGCCTCATTACCTTTTGCAGGATACTCAGTCCTTTACAGATGAATTTGCACCACTACTACCACCATCTTTGCATAGGGTTATTTTACTTTGTCCTAACTTTCAGAATCTAATGGCCATTTTTAAAAATTTGATCTTTATATTTTCGCTTCTCCTGCCTCATTTGCCTGTTGTAATGTGAAAGATTGGAGAAGAAGAAAAACCGAGTTATGTAAACTTTTTCGTGCAATAGGTGTTTGAAAGGAGAAAAAGACATTGGGTGTAGGGAAGTCTGTTGCATTTTGACTGAATGGTTAAGAACAGGACTTCCCAAACTTTTTTTTTTTTTTTTTGCATCATTGCCCACTTTCACATGGAAACATTTTCTACAGCTCACCTGTATAGTAAATATTCAAAAGCATACCAAAATTGTTTGTAAAAGTTTATTACTTTAAAAAAAAAAAAAAAAAAAAGTACCAAAGGGAGGTAACAAATAACACTGACTTATGCGGCCATGCTTCTACTGTATTAAAGAATAAACAAAAACAAACTCCACCATTGCAAACACATTTATTTATTATATATATATATATATATATAGAGAGAGAGAGAGTTTTATGGTTAGGATTAGTGTTGACAAAAAAAAATTAAAAGATTGCAGTCGTTAATTCTAAAATTAAAAGAATATGCACTACTAGCAGCTGATAAAAATTCAGTGAATACTGTGTTTTTGGTCTGCCCTTATCTGATTTATATCTGAAAAAAAAATATTTCATTTTAAGAACTATTAGAATATTAATGACCCTTCTCAAAACTATAGTAAATACCAAAATATTTGTTTGCACAGGTATTTTATCACAGAATGTCATCCAGTTAGTCCCAATTAGACTTCTATTTTGTTTTGTTTTTAGTGGAGGGTGGGTGATTCAGCTTCTTGATTTTTTTTTTTCTTTTTACTTTACATGTTGAAAGACCTTTTTTAATAATGAAAATCCTATTCTGGCTACTAAAATTTCCAATCACCCACCATTTTCTGTTCAGTTGCTCATCATCCACTGGTGTGGAAACCCTAGGTTAGAGGGAATAAAAAGGTATGAGGAGAGAAGCTGTCTTTCAGTCTAATAATTAGTTGTGGAAAAAAGACACAGACAGACAGACAGACAGACATGCATATATATATAACCTTTCACTCAGATTTCTATTTCTTAAAAAGTAGGGTGACTAACTTAAAAATTACAGGAGCACGAGTGAGTGTTTAACTTTTTTCTTTTACTCCTTCAAATCACACCTGAATTGTTGATTTAGAATAATTCTGGAATTTTCCATCACCTGCTTTTGGTACAGGTGATTTTAAACCACTGCTTTGTTTTGTGTTGTCACTCTTTTTCTCAAGAATGTTTATTAGGTACATTAAATTCAAAGAAGAATTCTTGCAAATGAGATGTTGGTACCAGGATCCTTAAAACACCAAAATTCAAAACTCATTGTACTTAATGACAAAACCTGCATTTGAGCTGGAAAGTATAAATACAAAATGTTGTCATATATCCTGGAAATTCACAAAATTCTGAAGTGTCCTTTAATTTTATACATCCACATGTTTCAGTATTCAGAGATTGTTTTTCCTCTCCATCTTGGGATTTTTTTTTTTTTTTAATAAACTTGCTGGTCAATGACTGTCTTGTGTGATTCAATGATTTTTCTGGTTGCATTTGCTGTTCAGTCCCAGAGAATCTCTGACTATACATTTCTTTGATTGAAGAGAAAAAAAAAAAAGTCTACTTGGGCCAATCTGTAGTTTGTTTACTGACTAAGGAGCTTGCAGAAGATCTTTCTTTTCCAATTTTCTCATAAAAAGAAATTCAAAACATTTTCATTTCATGATTTAAGTCGCCCTTGCTTTTACTTGTAAAGATATGGTATTACTTCTCTCAACCTCTTTCTTTGAGCCTTAAACAGTTCTTTCCATTGCAAAATTTGTCAAATAATTTGGCTAGTTGACAGATTTTGTGTCTACACAAAATCCTCACAAGGTGCTGGACTGAAATTGCAGAGTTTCTGGAACAGTTCACTTTTCAATAAAGAGATGGTTGCATGGAAGACAAAGCCACTTTGCAGCATGTTTGGGATTTTTGTACTGTCATGTTTGAAGATGGTTTAGGGTTTTTTTTTGCCAAAGCTTTCCCTACAATTGATTTGTTACACTTGTATTTTTATGGCAGTTTAGATTGTAGTTTTTCAACTTTTTAATTCACTTGCCTGCTAGCAATGTTTTTTTATTTGCAAAAGAGACTTATGAAAGCAAGTAATGTGAGAATTTTTTTTTTTTCAATGCAAGGTTTGTTTTGCCACTACCTAAAACTTTATAATTTTTAACTATTTAGACATAATTGTTAAATGCTTACTAGATTAAATGTAATCATTTAATGGTTGCAAGGTGTACGTCTGTTTAACCTGTTCTTGTACAAATATATACCACTAATCCTGCAACTCAGTAATACAGAATACAAAAACTATTTTAACTGGCAATGTATCATTCAACTCAGTTGTCTACCTGCTTCTTCCCAGCTGTACTTCTGCTTTTCACTCCCAAGAATATGGTATATAAGGCATCTACATTACCTATACCTCTGTTTTCTTCAACTGTGAAATTGGTGTGTAATTTCAATACATGTATGTACCTCAGGACTCAAAGAAAATGATTATACACATTGGCTGTTAGAATTTAAATGTCCTTTGAAATGATTTCTAATTTTCAACTGGGAAAGGAAAGATATTTCTCTCTTGTAAATGAACTGAATAGTTTGGTAATCAAAGAATATACAATGCAAATCAAGCTTCCTCAATATGCCCAAGTGCTTTCAGCAATCTCAGTATTTTTCCATCATTTCATTATCCGTACAGTTTACTGTGTGAATGTGGTGCATCAAGGAAGACAATATCATTTTAAGCCTTCAAAATAATGATCATTATCTGAGGCAATTTAGATCGCCAACACTTAAAACACAAAATAGAATTATTTTTAGTATTTATTTAATTTTGTATGAATGCTAACAAATGATTGCCTGCTAAAATTTGGGAGACTGCAGCTTCAACTTCCAGAACTGTCCATTTTGAACTTCACTAGACAACCTGTTGGACATTATTGAAATATGCTTTTTAACACTCTTTTCATTAATTTAGGCCAGAGATTCAATATTTGTGCTGTAATTTGCACATTAATGGGGATAAAACTGTATTGCAGTTTCTTAATACTTGTTTAGGAGTATCTGAAAAGTAAAGTGATGTATATTTCTTGAAATATTGCTAATCTCTTTGGTATTAATATGGTTGGAATAAAGATGGTTCATGGCTATTAACAAAAAAAAAAAAAACAAATGAAGTTTACTTATTGAGGTGTTTCTCTCTGGCATGAATTGTAAATGGCATACAATATTTAAAAATATTCTTCTAGAAAAGAAGAAAAATGACTGGCATTTAAAATGGTGTTAGTTAAGGTATAACAAGCAAACTTCAGGATAATATATTCACAAGTCAATTATCTTGAGTCAGGGAGAGATGAAATGTTGCACTAACTTGATACAAATAACAGACAGCCATTTGGATTGATGGTAAGTGGAACAAGAAATTTAAGTTAAAAAAAATATTACTTCAACTATGTCATTAATCACTGGATTAATCAAAAGCATGTGTATAGCTGTATAAATGTTCAACTGATGCATATTTTGCATTCTCAAGAATTCCTTGTCATCTTTGATGAAAATGAGTTTTCTTCCAGTAACAAACCAGGATTCCTTGGTAAATACATTTTTTTTTTTTTTAGGAAAGGTTCTAAAGTTAAGTGCAAAGTCAGTGCAATTGGCTTTCATAGCAGATAATATATTCTTTCCCTTATTTTTAAAATCCAGTTTTAGCAATACTGACAGCTCTGTTCACGGGTAGGAAAGAAAAATATTACAAACAAAGACAAATGAATTAGTATTTATGTAAGATGTTTTATTTATCTTTTTGACACATTTTACATAGTGTTTTTATATCATTAGTTGAATTCTAGATAATAAAAAGGTTTCATTTTTGTTTTGTTTTTTTTTTTTAGCCCCAGATAAGCAGGAATGACACTTAAAACAACATTAATGAAATAATGATCTATCCTCCCCCTCCCCCTATTTGCCAGACTTAATTGTGTTGCCTCCATTTTCTGTTGCCTTCTCTCCTTCCCTAAGAATTGTTTATTCACCCCCTCTGATGCCAAACTGGTGGAGATGGTTGACATTTGATAATTCTGATTGACTGAACTTAAAATGATGCAAGTCATTAAATTGGGGTGGGTGGGGGAGAAGACATTTGTTGAAAAGATTTTTTTTTTTTTTTTTTGGTCCCAGTGATTTGAAATTCCTTTGTCCAACTCAACATTGATTACAAACAAGGCACTTTTCGTAGGAAATAAAATATTCAGTAGTTGTAAGGTATTTGTTGGGCAACACAAATGCTGATAATTTACTACAAAAATAAAATAAAATTTGCCCAAGACCTGTGACAGTTTGCTGACACAAATTATTTCGAGCAAAATATAATTTGCAATGACTTTGGTCATTTTATATAAAAAGGCGTGTCAATACTGTGGCTGGTTGTTAAAGAACTAGTGTCTTTACCAGTCAAATCACACCATCTACCCAATGAATTTACATAGAAATGGCAATAATTAAAATAATCAGTCATTTCTCTTAGAACATTTGTGTTTAAGCTTTTGAAAATATCTTTTGTCTTCAGTCAATGAAGCAGTTTCAATAGTTGGGAGGAACACTTGTTAAATGGTGGGTGCTTTTTCTGAATCTGGAAGACACAAAATAGCTGACAGAATGATTTTGTTTGTAGACAGAAGGGTAAATTCAGAAGAGGAGGGAATATGTCTTTGTTGACATTACAGAAAAAAAAGCACAGCACTATGGTTGGTACTTGTGAATATAGTTTAAAAATTACCATTGCTGGAATAAGTAAAGGTGGTGGGGGAGAGAAATGAAATGGTTAAGAAACCGGTTTCATTAATTTGTTGGTTGTTTTTTTGTTTTTTTCTTTTAAATATTTTGAAAACCTTTAAGCAAAATAAGTAAAAATAAAAAGCTGTGTCTGAATAAATTTTTTTTTTTTTTTTTTTTTGAAAACCTTTAAAAGGAAAAAAAAAGTGGGGGCTTTTGTCTGTGATGAGATAGGTCACTTTGTGGCATAAAATGTGGGAGGGGGGAATTGTTATAAATTTCAATATATCAAACATTTTTCCCCCCTTTTTCCTTCTGTTTCATTATTTTTTTTTTAAAGTTTGAGAGTTGTGCCATTCCTTTCCAGTTTTCATTTTTCTTTTTGTACTCTAACAAATAACTGAAAGGTAATTTAGAAGTAAGAGTGGAAGATGTAATTTCCAGGAAATAGAGTGGGGGTGTGGCTAGAAAAATCGAGACACAGTAATTGCTGTTTGATTTAATTTCTTCTTCCCTCTATGTGTGTGTGTGTGTATATATATGTATATATATATATATATATATGTGTGTGTGTGTGTGTGTGCCTCCAATTTAATCTTTTTTCCTAAACACTTGGTTTAGATAGACTCTCCATTTGATCATGACTGGCCCCAAAAAAGAAAAAAAAATTTTAATTTTTTTTTTTTTTTTTTTTTATTATTTAAGCTTTTTTTTTTTTTTCTTAGCTGCTCTGGTAAAACTGTCTTACCTGTCCATAGATAACAGAGCATGCTTATTTCTTTTTTTTTCTTTTTCTCTCTCTTTTTTTCTCTCACATTATTTATTTCTTTTGGTTTCTATTTTTCTTTGCTTTGAGTTGTTTCATTTTGTCTTGGTTTTTTGCATTGCCCAAAAAAAGAAGGTATTATCATTGACCCCTGATAAAAATCGTGTCCGAATGTCTACAATTAGAGGTGCACTGTTCTAAGGCCCGGGTCAGTGCACATAAATGTTGAGGTGTATGATGGAGGTCCCCAAGTGAATCTTCTCTCCTTTAAACTCCTCATTGCTGACAAGAGGTGTGCACTCGATGTCCAGGTGGAACATTTTTGGGGCCTTAATTCTCTGCTTAAATCTCAATGAGCTGATGTTTTTATGTTCATGCATGACAAACTGGTCGCTGTCTGGACCAGGAACGATGCGATAATGAACATTGTGTTGAAGAGGACTAAGGGCTGGCTGCATCTTGATCAATTTTGCATGGTGATGTGCTTGACTTTGTTTCACTTTAATTGCTATGGTTTGCTCTGGTGCTCCTGTGTGAAGATGAACTTTTGGCTTCTTGTCATCTTCACTAACACTGGAATTTGTGCTCTGATCTTGCAGCTAGAAAAAGAAAAATACACTAGAAATGTACAATCAAGAATATAATCCCCTCACCACATTGGTGCATAAGTTATGGTTCTTAGTGTATTAATACAGGGTTTAAATTGACAATTCATTCAAAATAGTCAACAATAAGAAATGCAATTGTAACAACTAGTAATTTCATTCATTTTAAAATCTGACAGTAAAATATGTATTTGGGCAGCAGTCCCTCTTCTATAAAGTTTCATTAAAAACAGCTGACTGCAGTTAAGGTTTGTTTTTTTTAATTTAATTTTTCTTAAAAATTAAGAAAAATGAAAGAAAAAAATAAACTTAACCGTAGTACTTTGTCATTCATTTTTGATCAGTCAATCCCACATACATCCACATTACATATGATTAGCAGTCTGTTACTCACTGGTCTAACCAACTGAACATTTTTTTTTTTTTTTTTTTTTAAAGATACTTGCCATTCACTACAATCCCAACCCATACCATAAAAATAAAGTATTTAAAGCTTTTACAATTTAGTTTCAGGTACTGTCTGGTTTCCATGTAAGTCTAATGCCTCAGGATGGCTAATGTTGATTAACATTTATAGGCTTTGATACTGTAATAAATACTAGTATAAAGAAATAATTTGAATAATAGTATTACTAATACAAGTTCACATTCTAGTTGTGATTACAATTCACTTCCTCCTGCCCTTAATCAAAAATTAGTTGGATCTACCAACCTTAAGGTCTTTAGTATGTTCCAGTTTATTGATTGGTGGACCAAAGATTTTGTCTTTTACTGTAGCAGTTGTGTCACTTGTAGCTTTGTTGTTTAATGCATCATCAATACTTCGCTTGGAGATAGACAAAGGAAGGTCACCAACATTGCATGAATAACAGATTTCTCCAGGTGGAAGAGCACCATCTGGGGGACCAGGAATGTGGGGTAATTGTACTCCCTCTGGAAAGTTGATGCTACTACTGCTGCTGCTCATATTAGCTGGAGAAATGGTCGAGATGCAGTGGCTGGAGAGAAGAAAAAAAAAAAAAAAAACAGCTTCAAGTTAATTTTCTGGCAAAGAGTCTTAAGTCAGTTAAAAAAATATCAGTTGAAAGGAATTTAAGGAGGAAAAGAAAAATGGGATAGTAGATGAAAGGTGCAGTTATGGTTGAATTTAATAGGAAAACATCTTAACCAGCGAGTACTTACCCTTGTCCAATGCGTTGGTAGCCTGTGGGGCAGCCACAAACATAGTCAGATGAACCATATGGTGAACAGCCAAAGAGGCATGGGCTGTTACTACAGACATCAAAGTTACCCCCAACTGAAAGGAAAGAAAAACAAAAAAAAAAGTATTTAAAATTCAGCCATCAAGTAATTAAATTTTTTTTTTTTTTAATGTAAGCATTAAAATTTAGCGTCATTTTATTTTTTTCAACTATTTCATGAAAATTATTCGTTGTTGCTGCACTGATGTTCTTTGCTCAGATATATATAGTAGAGATAAAAAGGAAATTGAACATAAACAAAGGCAGTTTTGTCCCACTCTTCAAATTGCTACAAAACCAAAAGATCAACCTGAAAACTCAAGTCCTGTTCTTAAATATCCTTATCAGATTTGGACTTTCATATACAGGATGTGATGGGTAAATTGTCACCATTTTATATTTTTAACTTCACATGTACGTTGTTTGGTTTTGATTTTGTCAGTATAGTAGGGTCAGTTGGACACTGTGAGGAAAAGAGCAATTCACTCTGCCAGAAATTAAGAAACAGTGTGCTGTTCTGCTTGGCATCTGCATCAGAAGCTCTAATATGAACATTTCAGAGTGTTTGGGTGTCAATCTGACAACAGTGCAGAGGATTCAGTTGGATGAGTAATGATGATTACAAACGTACAGCAGCATGGAAAATTCACTCCTGAATTTTGTTGATGATTACAAAAATGTTTGGAGTGATCACTAACGATGATGACATCATGCCTCCATTCATCTTCACACAGGGCCTCAAGACTCAACACTGAGGCCTACATCAAGTGTCTTGAGGAGACCATATGGCTAGCAACAGCACTGTATTATGCCACACAATCAGGAGAATCCAGTCATGGCTGTTAGAGAATTTCTGCTACCACATCACCCCTTACATCTGGTGACCTAACTCCCCAGATTGCAACCCCCTTGATTATTGTGTGTGGTGCACAGTTGAGCAAGAGACCAACAAAACTCCTTGTAACACCAAAGATGAACTGAAAGCAAGGATTATGGCAGCATTCACCAACAAGAAGAGTTGCAGGAGATTCAGAAATTGTCTGGAAGTTGTAGTTGAAGTGAATGGCGATTTTACTGAATAAATTTACTCTTTAGTATTTCAAGATATTTTTGTGTAATTTTGGTAAATATATCTTTTAAAATGAGATGTCAGTGTCATTTTCATTTTTGTGTAATTTAGACGACAATTTATTCATCGCACCCTATAGATATGCATAGCACCAAATGGTTATCTGTATACAACTGTTTTCTAAGATCAAAAATGTCTTTGAGCAAGTAAAAAAAAAAAAACAAAAAAACAAACACACTTCAAACCTTGTGGACTGGTGCTACAGAATCATAAAGAACTGTAACAGAATTCACATCACTTGAAACCTTTTAACAGCTAAAATGGATATCTATCCTGGAAAGAGCAATTTCTGGACTTGAGAAATCTGTTTTCCTGAAAAGTTGTTTCAAGAAAAAGATTTTATAAGCTGCTCGGTCAATGAATGCCAAATGTTTCCTTGTAAGGAAATGGCAAATATTACCATTGTCTACTAAATATCTGTTAAGTCATCTGCACATCCAAGCTTGCAGCAACTGGTATTCCCAAGTAGTCACCCATCTAGGTACTGACCAGATTCAACATTGCTTAACTTCAGTGATCATATAAGAACTGGTGTTTCAATGTGATATGCATTCATTTAGACCAGCCATAAGTCAATATAATAAATAAAGTATTACTCACTGAGAAAAGCATAATTGGTTAAAGTTAAATATTTTGATTTACATCATAATAATTAGGAATAAAACAACAGGCTAGTCTACCAGTACAGTCAAAAGAATTGCCAATATTTAAGAAAATTTGCTTTAGTTATATTTTCAGCACCAGTAATCTAGGATATTTATCTATATACTTAACTACTGTTATGGGTAAGATAAAAATTCTTTTTCTATCACCAAAAGTAAAAAAAAAATACCCAAACAAAAATGAATAGCAACATATTAGCAAGCTGTTCTCATTACTTAGAAAATATATTCCATTGTTATGGTAATATGAGCAATGTTTACTATTTTTTATTACCATCAGAACAGAATATCTCATTAAGTAGGATAGATAAAGCAACATAACTTATAAATACATAAAGTTACTTTGTTTTTCATTTTAAGAAATACACACACACACACACATATATATATAAGTAAATCTACGTACATCTACATGAACCTTGCTGTTGATCAAAGTTTGCTCCAGTTTGGCAGTGGCAGTTGTAAGAACCAGCAACATTAATACAGGAACCATCACCACATACAGTTCCCATCCCGCACTCATCAATATCTGAAAGAAGAAGAAAAAAATCTCAACATAAAATAAATAATTTCTGAACTTTATTGCCATACAGAAAATAAAAGGTAATTTTCCATTGCTAATATTTTCATTTTGTTGAAAATTTATCTCCAACTTGGTTGGGGGACAAACATTGATTGAATGCTTATCAATATGCTTAACTTTCAGTATATGAAGAGACTAAATGGAAACATTTTGAAAAAAAAAAAAAAATTCCCATGACTAGGTTTAAAGTACAAATCTTATATGCCTTTCAACAAAAGTATTCATCTGACATAAGGCCATAAGTATAGAGCATACCATCAGAGTTGGTGTCACTTAATGATTTGCATGACTAAACCACTGTTCCATAGTAAGGTAATCACCATGCATTTCAATATAAAAAATGAAGATTTCCAATTGATAACCAAATTTTGATCTATTTTTCTTGTTAAGAAAATAAAGGCCAATTTTAATGCTTAACCTTGTAAACTGCAAATTCATTTTGAGATTTTTCACAATGTGGAACTTACATATTATGCAGCCTTAGAGAAGAAAAACAACTTCTTTTACAAGAGTATTAGGAAAATTAATGTTTTGCTTTTATGATATTCTTGCTTATTTTTGATAGTTTCTTTTTTTTTTTCAAGTTCCAGTAAATCAAATCTATTTTGAGTGGTGACCTCATTGATATTAGTTTCCTTCTTTTTCCCTTTTCCTTGTTTATGAGTAGTTCATTTGTGTGTGTGTGTGTGTGTGTGGAATTTATATATTGGTTAGAATACTGGTTTATCTTTTTGGTATGATCCATTTATGGGCGGGTGTCTTCATAATGAAACTAGGTTTCAGCTCATTTATGAATGTTTGCTAGTCATTTGGTCGTCGTCTTATCTTCATTTATTTGTATTATATTCCCTCTAGTCATACCAGCATAAGTCTTTTTTGAGATTATACCTCTATGATTTTCCTGGCCTCTGCAAACGAGAGACTGTGTGTTTCAACTTCATTATGTTTTTCCTTTTTGCCATATTGGGCATTCTGGATGGTCCTGCCTACAGTTCGCACGTTTGGGATTTTTGGTGCATTCATTTTGGTCATGGTCTGGGGATTTCTCGACACATCTTTTGCATATGTACTCGTCCCTGCATACATCTTTGTAATGTTCGAACTTTTAACATTTATAACATCGGAAAGAGTTTGGAATAAATTGCTCCACTTTGTTTATTCCATATTCAGTGCCGGACCGGGGGCAGGAAGGGGGTGGTCACCACCAGCACTTTATGGAGGCGGAATTTTGCGGGTGAAAAAAAGAATTGAAGACGTGATCATTCATTTTCATTTTATGGTGTTTCAAAAAGTAAATCTAATACAGTGTAACCCAGATATAAGAGAGTTGTTGGGACCGGAGAAGAAGTCTCTTATATCCGGGTTTGGTCTATTATATATACATTAACACAGGCTCTAATTTGGGACCAGAGAAAATCTCTCTTATATCCGGGTTTCTCTTATATCCGGGTTTGGTCTATTATATATACATTAACACAGGCTCTAATTTGGGACCAGAGAAAATCTCTCTTACATCCGGGTTTCTCTTATATCCGGGTTTGGTCTATTTATATACATTAACACAGGCTCTAATTTGGGACCAGAGAAAATCTCTTATATCCGGGTTTCTCTTATATCCGGGTTTGGTCTATTTTATATACATTAACACAGGCTCTAATTTGGGACCAGAAAAAATCTCTTATATCCGGGTTTGGTCTATTTTATATACATCTAATTTGGGACCAGAGAAAATCTATATCCGGGTTTGGGACCAGGCTCTAATTTGGGACCAGAAAATCTCTCTTATATCCGGGTTTGGTCTATTTTATATACATTAACACAGGCTCTAATTTGGGACCAGAGAAAATCTCTTATATCCGGGTTTCTCTTATATCCGGGTTTGGTCTATTTTATATACATTAACACAGGCTCTAATTTGGGACCAGAGAAAATCTCTTATATCCGGGTTTCTCTTATATCCGGGTTTGGTCTATTTTATATACATTAACACAGGCTCTAATTTGGGACCAGAGATAATCTCTCTTATATCCGGGTTTCTCTTACATCCGGGTTTCTCTTACATCCGGGTTACACTGTATTATGTTTTTTTAATTCAATTTTTTTTTTTCACATTCATTCCTTTTTGTTTGGAAGATCATAAACACATGACATGCCGCCTTGTTGTTGACCTCAGCTTTTAATAAGCTCGAGCGACTGCCTGAGATGCCGTACTTTGATCTGACCCTGCTGTGAGCGACCACTTGCTGAGACTACAAGACCATTCCGGAACATTCCAAGAGACATCTCAATTATATTGCGATAATCGACCTAAATAATTTTTGAATCGTTTTTCAATTAATAAAAATAAAATGTCCGATTTTTTTTTTTAATGATTTCAAAATCAATTGTGAACATGTTGAAATTTTAATTAAATTTTTGGTATTTTATTCTTTAATAAATTTATTTTATGAGTAGCTTCTTTGATTTAAAAAAAATCTTGAGAAAATATTTTTATCGTTTAATGTTTGGTCATTTAAATAAAAAACAAAATTGCTAATTTTTACATTTCTAGAAAGATCAAAAACGAGAAGACTACATATAAAAAAAAGAATTAAATTTATGATGTAAACACCCTGAAAAAGTTATTTGAAAATTTTAATTTTGTTTTTAAAAAAACTCAAAAAATAATTTTTTGACATTTTTTTCTAGTGGGGTTGTTTTAAAAATAATGTTTTTTTTTTTTTTCTTTTTGTTGATTCAAAAACAAATTTCTTCTCATGCAATTTACCTACATTTTATTCACTTAAAAAATTTTACAGTGAATTTTGAAAGCCTTCGAACCCTTCTGCCTAAAATGAGATATTTGTAATTATAAAGGTTTATTTAATCTATCTAAAAATGTATGAATAAATCTTCCCAATGTAGGATAGCATATTTTCTGAGATTTTAATATATTTAAAAAAAATTACGAACGAATTTTCATTCAGACTGCTTGAGGAAATAAAGAAAAGTCGTCTTCTTTGAAGTGTTAAAAATTTTAAGATTGCGCTCCTTCCGAAATGAAAGATCTTTTGGGCGGAAAATTAAAATTAAAAATAAAATAGCGCATGTTTTCAAATGTTTTTACTAGATTATAATTTATATTTTTCTATTATTGCCCATGAAATTTGAAAATATTTGCATTATTATTAATATGTTTAATTAATAATTTGAATAACTGAAATTTCTGATTTTTTTTTTTTTTTTTTTACACACACATATCACGGGATACTGATTAGATTTAAGCGCAAAATCATTGAATCAAAGCAAGGATTATAGTTGATTTTGATAGTAAATGATAACGCACATGGGTTTTAAAGAAATTTTGGTTTTATCATTTTATTGCCCAGCTGATGTTTACCCATGATTCTGTGGTGCCAGTCCTGGAACAGACCACCACACAGAGTACCTATACACAACATTGGACTAAAAACCAGTTACCCTGTTAACTTCAAAACGTAAGTTTTATTTTTTTTATTTTAATAATTGAAACATTTTAGAACAAAACAGCCTTCATTTAAATTTAAAAATTAGGAAGAGGCTATTTTGTCGGTGGTCCCTACACAATAACCACCCCCACGTTATTTTTTTTTTCAACATAACTTATGTATGACGTAATGAAAGAAGTCTAAACTATTTTTTAATAAAAAAATAAATAAATCAACCGTTTCGGTTTACTTATTTGGTTATCTTCAAGATACTCAATCCAAAATTTTCAGCTTATTTGTTATGGGATACTTTCTTCATAGTAGCAGCAGGAGTCAGCCTCGGACGCTCTTTTGATCTACTTTTTACGGGAAATTCTAAAATGTTTGATTTGTTTGCAATTCACTATTAAAAAAAAAAGTCTTCAAATTTTATTAAAAAATAAAGTTCATTGATATATTGAAAAATGTCCAAATTAATTTATTGTAAAGATAAATTTTGGTTTTGTTTCCCAAGTGCTAATACCCCTTAAAATTTTTCCAAAATCGTCATAATTCCGTGCAAATGTACATGCTGAACAATTAAATTATGAAGAAACCTTACCGTTTTGGAGTTATCGACAAGAAAAAATCGGACTTCTTGTTGGTCATTCGTCCCCCACTGCCATCATGATTACTAATTCACTGCGTAGTACCTACTCAGGCGTAATCCGAAAAATTGGCCAATTTACTTTTACAGACTTTCCTTGCAGAAAATCACTATGCACTACCCGACCGTAAAGAAATGTAATTTTTTTTTTTTTTTTTTGGTAAGTGTAGTTTTATTTATAACAAAAACAAATTAAATAATACAACAGAACCTTTTTTCCGTTTCGAATGGCAATGACAAAATAAAAGAACAAATTAAAAATAATAAAAATAAAGCAAGTATGATCCTTTGTTTTTGGAAAGCATTACTTGAAAGAATGAAATGATAAACGGCGGTACTTGTCACCGAAAATCCAAAATTAATTCTTATCTTGGGAAACCGTGTAAAGGAAAATATATTGGATCAAATTCGAAAAGTCAGTTATTTTGCGATCATACTAGACAGCACGCCGGGCATTTCTCATACTGATCAGATGAGTTTCATTTGTTGATATGTCGTTGTTGAAAACAAAGAAGTGGAGGTGAGGGAAGACAGCTTATGATATCCAGAAGATGATTTTGGATCGACTGGCGAAAAAGAAAACTTGATTTTAAAAAATATAGAGGGATAGGATTTGACACTGGGGCTAGTATGGCTGGAGTTCATGGTTGTGTTCAACGTCTTCTACGAAACATAAATGGGAAAGCTAAATTTGTGCCATGTTCTAATCAGTCTGAATTTATGTGGTGTTCATACCTCAGCTGTGAATGCAAGTGACATTACATTTCTCGGAGTGATTGAGAGATCTATACATTTTTCTCCTCTTCCAATCATCGGTGGGAAGTTTTATCTTCGCATGTGAAGGTCATAATCTTTAAGAATGTCATGATCGACTTGTAAATTAACTGGAGGCACGATTTAACTCCATGCTTCATCTGCAAACTGTCTTCACTGGATTATCACCGCAAGTAATCCTGGAAGATATTGAAGGCGAGTTTGAGCGAAAATTTAAATTTCTCGGTAGCGAATATGGTGCTGACTTAGACGTATCTAGGCTGCCTTTGAAAATTTTCCAATTTCGGGATTTTTTAGCGGCAGTTTCCAAAGTGGAACGTGACATGACCATGATGACCAAATCATCGGCTATCGAATGCCCGAGATGGATTTATTAATGGCAAGTTCAAGAAACAGTGTCAAATAGTGTGATTGCTCTACGGCTGTTCTTGACACTCACAGTTTCTGTTGCTACTGTTGAGAGAAGCTTCTCAAAACTGAAGCTCATTAAAAGTCACTTGAGATCGAGTATGTCGCAAGATCACTTATCCAATTTGTCCCTGATTTCAATTGAACATGAAACTATGGAGAAGACAGACTTTGACCAAGTTATTAGTAACTTTGCTTTTGCAAAATCTCGAAAAATTAAAATATGATAGCGTTTGTTCAGCTAATTTTTGAATTTGCTGTTTTTCAAGTACTAATCAACGCCCATTAAGGTTATTTCATTTATATTTTCTCAAAAAAAAAAAAAAAAAAAAAAAAAAAAAAGTTGTGTCCTTATGAATACGGGCCCCGGGCGGCGCACTGCCTCGGCACGCCGCTGTTCATATGCTTGTTGGAATTTGAGGAGTATTAAATGTTATTATGAAAGTATTTATTTGGATCATCTGTCCATCCCTTTTTATGGACACTTCCGGCGTCCGTGTCACCCTGTTGCTTTAGTTCATTTTTTTTTATCTCCTCCAAGGTGCATAGAGACAACTCCCCACTTCTTACCACTCCCTTGCAGGTGTTCGAGTTTTTATGTGGTAACTTTTTATACTGGTTTCATAAAATCTAGTCATTTTCAGTAAAGATATCTGCACAATTTTTATTTCCTACTTCCACCAGTAGAGTCACTTTTTTTTTAGTTTCTTTACATTTGTGGGGTGATATTCATAGATAACACTTTTTTGGATTAAAAAGGGTGATGTACTTTTTAGAGAGTTGTCTCCCTTTGACTCAAATAGTATGAAACTTGGGAAGTGGTCGGAGAATTTTTCATAATCTGTTTCCGATCCTGAATCGACATGTAGTCGATTTTTTTTCCTCCATAAGAAAATTTTTAACTTCATTATTGCACTGTCCGACCCACCTCAGAGTCCAAAATTGGGGCATGACAAGGGGAAAATCCATTCGCCTTGCCATAACAGGGATATGGTATCCAGGTATACTCACATGGAGAGGAACTTGAAGCACTTGTAATTCCTTAGTTTCTTCAGTTTAAGTACATCAGAACTTCTGGTGTAAATAAGCCATGTTGAGTTCTTTTTCTTTCAAACCGATTGAACCTTAGCCACCTTTTTTATCATGCATTCGGGAATAAATTAGTCAAGTATTAGAGTGTGGTATTAGCATTAAGTTTGATGTGGGTTATATCATAAGTCTTTGGGCGCCTCGAGGCGGTGTAATGGTTTGCAAGTTTATATCGCTAGAACAATTACGACTGAGTAGTGAGTTCGATCCTCACTGGGTGTCCCCTACCTTCGGCCTTGTGCCACATCTAAGCTACGCTTGGAAAATCACTATATATTATAAGGCTTGACATGACCAGCCGATTAATTGGATCGGGCCTCTCCGACCGCCCGTCTAATCCAAGTAAGGGTCAAAGTGGAGTGTTGCAGTTAATGGCCTCTTAAACTACAGGATCATCAACTGCTCAGCCACCAGGATCCCGTCCTCACACAACATGTGTAGCCACCCACAGCAATGAGGTGGCTCCCTTGGGGGACTTTTTACCACCTTCCGAAACGCCACCGACGGGGGCAAAATATATACAGGAAGATGAGAAATATATTGAGAATACTTTTCAGCTTCTCCAATAGCCTAATTATTTCATATTCAACACAGATAAAAGTTTCATAAAATATCTCAAAATAGAACTGTCGACTATTCTGGCCAGCCCAATGAATCAAAAGATATTATTCTACCTACCAAATAATGAATCTGATTATAATTTCAATTTAAAAAAAATGTTACTTTAATTAATAATCACAACTGCAATTGAAAAGAATTTATCTAAGTTTAACGTAAAATTTTTTAGAACTTCTTTAAAAAAACAATAAAATACTTAATACAAAACAAAATAATAAGCTATAACTTGAAGGAAGAATTTGTCAATTGTAATAATTTCCACAAGGAATACATAAGAGAAACCTCAAAGAATTTAAATAAAAGATTATAAGAACGCAAAACACACTCAATGCATAAGTCCCCGTCATAATGAATCTGATTATAATTTTAATTTAAAAAAAAATGTTACTGTAATTAAAAGAGATAACAATTTACTAAAATGAAAGTGTATATAAAGTGCTTTAACCGCAAGATCATCAACAGTAAATTTGCATCCAGGTTCTTAATAGACTTGTCAATAAAGATGAAATGTTCTATCACAATGTGGGATGCTTAAGAGTGATAAAGATATAAACAAAAAGAAACTAAATGAAATACGCTAGACTATACATTCAAATACATATTAAAAATATTTTAAATTTCAGCATCCTCTCTCTCCTTTGTGTTCATGTGTAGTCGCATCAACATAATCACTTTAGTCTGATGAAGTCCTAAAGGACGAAATGCATCACATGAAAAACTTTTTTGAATGTTATTAGTTTTACTAACATTAATCTGGTATATATATATATATATATATATATATATATATATATATATATATATATATAATTTTCTCCCACTAAAAGAGTATAAAAAGAAACAAAAAATAACGTGTTTCCATTAGTTAAATTGGTTACATTATTAATCATGCACATGATAGAACCATTTCCAATTGTAATGTGCATCAATGATTTCCATAGCTTTCTAATACAGAATCAAGTTTCAAAGGAGAAAATGGTCAAGGAAGTCTTACGATTACTGATAATCAGTAGAAAAAAATTCATTGGAATGTTTGAGAAATAAATATTTCAAGATAAAAGGAATGACAAGATCTGACAATTTGAGATTAATCTTGAAGGTAAAGAATTTCTGGAAACCAAATTTGTCTTATCTTTTAATTCTTTTTTTTTTTTTTTGCTTATTAAGCTCTTTATTCTTAGCTAAAAAATAAGGTTCGGAATTATATAATATTTTTTGCCATAATGTGTTATTTAGCATTAAAAGAGGTTATTAAGTTTCATCTACCAGTGAACTAGAAACATGTCCTGAAGAGTATATAAAGGATTAAAGCTGCATCTACGTATCTGATTATAGCTTTAAAGATATGCATGGATTAGATTTTAATAATATTACTGCTACATCAATATTATCTAGATTTTTTTTTTTTTTCCGCAAACATATTTGTTGTATACTGGAAATCTTCATCACTTAGGAATAATCCTGGTCTCAGTTGGGGTTTTGGGCCTCTAAAAATCTTCAGACCCCCCCCTCTCCCAGGCGACCCAAACAAAAGTGATCATCTCCTACCCAACTTCCTGGTCTTTTAGTTGAATCTGCAAAATTTGGTCTGAGCTTATTATTGGTTCAACGATTTGGGAATTCAGCCAATGAAAATTAGTTTTACAGTTCCTGTAGTCTTTGTCTGCCTATTTGATGTCGAATTTTTCTTGTCAATTACGTTTTTTTTTGTTTTGTTTTTTATTCTTGCCCATTGTTACAGAATTAACAATTCTGTATTTATTTTATTATTGTATAACTTCTTTCAAGGAATGATAGTTTTGCTTCAGTTAAAAGTACCCCTACCACTCATTGCTCATAATGAAGATTCAGTAGCAGCTGTTTTCTGTATAGAAATCTCAAATGTACTTACCCACACAGCTCTTCCAGTAGACATGTTCGCTGTAGCCCGGAGGACATTCACAATGGTAACTTCCAGGCATGTTTTCACAGTTTTCATCACAAAAGCCATGCTCACATTCATCCAAATCTGCATCATAAAATAAACAACAGGTGAGTTGTAATGTGAATATCAGTCATAACTTATGACTCGAGAACCACTCAAGGTAGAGGATGAATGAATGAGGTTTGTGATATCAATGTATGAGGATGTGGTAGGAGGTAAAAGATTGAAGATAAGGAGGATAGATAGTAATTGACACCTGACTAAGTTAAGACTGTAATATTCCGGGAAACATCAATATGGGACAATGTTCTACAAAGGAGCAAATCTTTGGAAAAGATTCCGTGTGTAATTTCTTTCTCAAAGATGGAAATGAGGGCGATTCATGGCATGGCATGTCCAAACTGTAAATGTCTGAACTAGTGGAATTAAAAAATGGCACTCATCTGAACATTTGCTATGGGAATAGTGATAGAGTAGTGATGAGTTTGCGACATTGTATCTGTAAAAAAAAATGCTGCAAAATGGAGAATAAGTTATCTCTCACAAGACAGTAAGAGATTTTGAACTCTTTCAAGGCTGGGAAGTGAGAGTTGAACAGCCTCCAGCAACAATACTCAAATGTTTAGGTCTTTTTTTTTTTTTAAAAAAAAAAAAAAAAAGGTCGGCTCTCTGTACCGCTCCAGTACGTACCTGACTCTATATGCTATCCTCTACTTTAACAAGAGCCAGATCAGGCCTAAAATGGTGTACTGTTGTCATATTTGGGTGGGAGCTACCAAGTCCTCAGTAGAATCTAAATGCGTCTCCAAATCCTTGTGGTGACAATTTTTACACGATTAAATCACAAAATCTCTCTCAGACGGTATATGCCAAGTCTCTCACTGTTCTATTGCTACTTCCACGCAAAGTACTCGGACGAACTACATTCCTTGTTTCCGCCAGTTCTAATCTTCACATCTAGCACCTGACTTACCATGCCACTCACATTCCCACCAACATTCCCTCCGTGCTCCATTGGTGAGAAGTAAGTTCCCCTTGAACAGCTTCTTCCACGAGCTACAATTTTAACCTGTTCAAGTTTAGGGTTAACCATTATCTTCCTCTCCTATTCGCCTCTTAATGTAACCTTCTACCTTGAGTGGCCTCCGGGCCTTGTACAGGGTGAACCTTACTGTAAAAAAATATTCCGACTCTTGTAAAAATAAAATGGCAGTAGGAGTCAGGTATTTTTTGGAACGCTAGAATGAACTGATCATTAATTTTTGCTATTGGGTGAAGTATGAAATTGTCAGAATTTTCACTGAACAGATATTTTACACCAACAGTAGAATCCCTTTTCTGATCACATATATTCACAAGACAACGTTTTTGATTAAAAATATATATATATATAAAATGGACCCTATTCTTGCAAATAAGTTTCGATTTTGATACCATAGCAGTTGTCTACTGATTGGAATTTTTAACTTCACTCGAAATTGCCTTGATAGAAAGAATCTACTCTGATTTTTCCTGAGAAATCCAGCCAATTTTAGCGACAAACATCAATCGCAAAATTTAATTGCCTCTTGATGAAATGAAAGAAAAATATTCAGTGACTGGATGACGATATTTGAAAAATATCTGAATGGAAAGACTTACCTACGCACTTGGTTCCAGTTTTGTCAACAACATATCCTCGTGGGCAGATGCATTTGAAACTGCCCTCTGTGTTTTTGCACGTACCACGGCTACATAAATGACGATTCTCAGCACATTCATCAATATCTAGAGAGAGAAAAAAAAATATATTCTCTCATTAACATCCTGAATCGAACTTTTTAAAACAACAATTACAGCATTGTTGATACAGTATTCTAAAGGTTGATTAAGAGGTCAATCAATGTTCAAGACTATATTTCAGAATCCATTGAATTTAAGACGTCAGATGTTTTTTTTATCACTACCCACTGACTTTAACATTACGCCACCACTCATGCTTAGCGTTAAATATTTCTCTGATCTTAAAAAGAAAAAAAAGTGGGGAGTAAATATTTTTCGTGTTAGGGAAAAAAATTAATAATTATAACAATTTAAAAAAAATATTTTTGCAGAATTTGACAGTCAATCTGTTGTACATTGAAAATCAGGAAGAAAGTTATCAATGTTCAGGAATTAATGAAAGCATTACTGAGAGACAATAAGGCTATTATAAATGCATTCATTGGTGTATTTGTATAACCGATTCAATAACTTCTCTTTAGGAGAGAGAGAAAAATGACATTTTTCATTATTAAAAAAATAATGAAGTCGGACAAATTTATAAATTTAATGTTTAGAACTAGCTGCATTAGAAATTTTGGAAATGGGAAAATGAGAAATTGTTTCAATTTTTAAATTCTATGTTGTTTTATTTTCGTTGGTTGCCTTGATGTTACGTGTCCATTTACCAAATTTAAAAACCGAAACAACTCCACATTATTCCACTTCCAAAGTTTCTGATGAAGCTAAATAAATAACGAAACAATTTATAAAGATTGTCATATTGGTTCCTTATTTCATCATTCTGTCGGATTTAATCCATAATTTCAACTCATTTTTTTTTCATTCTACAGTTGTCTAATACATATGTTGTGGTGTCTACTTCTAGCTTAACTAAAAGCCGTGACAAAGAAAATGATCTCATGCAAATGGCGAGTGTTACTATTTGCAGAAGACAACGTGAATGGAACAAAGGAATTTAAACACGGGCATATTTTTTTGTATTTTTATACAAATTAATAATGGAATAATAATAATGGATAGAAATATATATTAGTGTGTTCACAGTTGGAAAGGAAGAAAAGATAATCTTAACTTTTTTTTTTTTTAAGCATGACGCCCCGAGCAAGGTCAGGTGAATAAGGTGGATGGCACAAAGTCTTCCACATAAGTTGCTGTATGGTATCCCTGACCACTCGCGCGACATGCGGCCTGGCGTTGTCATGGAGGAAAAGCACACCTTTGCGATTCACCAGTGCTGGCTCCTGGCGCAATACCTGTTGCACACGTTTCAATTGTTGCGAGTATAGGTCTCCAGTGACCGTTTGGCCCGTTGGTAGCAGTTCATAATGAACCACTTGACGACCTGTCCACCAGACACAAAGCATAATATTGTGTGGGTGCATAGGCGGTCTGGCGGTGTGAGGGACAGCATCCCGAGAAGACAACCAATGTCTGGAACGCTTGGGAGTTTCGTACAGAACCCACTTTTCATCACTGGTAAGCACTCGATTGAATAAGGATGCGGTATAGTGGCGAGAAAGCAGCGATACGCAGGCTGCCACTCGTTGTCCCTTGTGGACCTCCAACAGCGTTTGCGAAACCCACTTGCTCAGTTTGTACGTCTTACCTAGGCGGTGCAGGTAAAGTCTAACTGTTTCATCGGAAATGTTGAACAGTCTTGCAAGTTCACCACACGTTAGGCTACTGTCCTCTTCAATGGCTGCCTTCAGGACTCCGTCATTCAAGACCTGTGGTCGTCCACTGCGAGGCTCATCATGGAGAGACAAATCTCCCGACTTGAATTTTCAAAACCAACGTCTTACAGTACGTTCATCCACAGCATTATCCCCAAACGCTTGACATATGCGGCGACTTGATGCAGCTGCTGATAAGCCGTAAAGCAAACAGCCCCGACCGAGATCTCTAGACACTTCCATCCTTCTCACAGCTGTCCGGCTTTTAACTGATGGACGGGCACGGTGCGCATGTTTTTTATAACGTCTGATGTTCCTACTTCCGGCTGTCCTAATTTGAAAACAATTGCTACACGCATTTCGTATATATTTCAACTTCATTCAATGACTAATCAAAAAACGGACAGAACTTTTTTGGTTACCTTGTATATTATTATTATCGATAATTTTTGTAATCTGCCTGTATTCCTGCCATTAACTATTAAATTTAAGATTTAGGAGGAAATAATTATAATAAAATGTTTGCTACCATCCAAGCATAAACACCAATTTCCATTTTTATTCTTATTAGGTAGATAGGGAGAAGAGAAAGGATAACAGATCCAAGAGAAACGAATAAGCCAAAATTGTGGCAGTCATTACAAACAAGCAGAATAACTGTAGAATAATGATTATGATGTCAAGGTTGGTAGCACTTTAGGGTAAAATGGGGATTGATTCTTAAAAGAATTCTTATCACCGGTATGGACACTTTCGGAAACAAGTTATTTGAGAAAGAATAAAGGTTGCATTTGTATCAACGTTTTATTTATTTAAATTGAATTCACCCAAGCAAGGCAGTAAAGCAACGATGACACAAGTGGGTACTGGGTTTGAACGAATTAGAAAACAAACATCAAGGAGCAAGAACAATAGAAGAGTAATCAGGAAGACAGTAGATAACGATTGACATTGCATTTAAATTTTTGAAGATCAAAGTTGGCTGGAAAGCAAGAATCCGGAAGAGAGCTCCACAAACGACAAGTGCGAGAAAAACATAGAAATTACCGTTACATTTAGCCAACTGTAAGTTGATGAGACCTTACCGCCAATCGAGTAATGCGTTTGAATTCATAAAGTCTTGGTACCATAGGAATTATGATAGTTGATTTCTACTTTCAAAGGATAATAAGGAACCAATATTTGTTATACACATTGCCAAACAAAAGTTCTGTTCAGATATAAGGAACATTTTAAAATAATTATAAAATACGAGAGTCGGCTGAAAAGTTCATAGGTTAATAACTAACATATAAATGCAAGTAGAAAACAGTTGGCAGACTAAAAGATATGCATTTTTATCGAATACAATAGCTAGTCGATCCTCGTAAGTGTAAAATGAGAATTTTTATTAATTCTTTTGAAACCTTCACATTTCTCTTTATACATCAATTTTTGTTTAGATTCAAATGTTGTTCTTTTGTTTTTGACATGCTTCTGTCATGCTAAAAACATTTTCCTTACCAACACAGTTTCCAGTGGGTCCTTCGCGAAGTCCATCAGGGCATCCACAGGTGTAGCTTCCCACTGTATTTATGCAGCCATAGGGACAGTTATGTTGACCAGTCGTGCATTCGTCAATATCTAGGGAAAGAAGGTGAATTTAAACATTTCTAAATTCAATAAAGTTGATAAGATCTTCCTCATTCTGAATATAAATGCAATATACCTTAAAACATTAAACTATTTAAATGTTTGCTTTCAGATTATTTAATGCAATGGGTCTTGGAGGTTACAGCTTTTTTGTTGTTGCTTTTAAAGAACCCGAAAATACAATATTCAAATAATTCATGATTCATCAAAATTCATGGTCAATTTTATTTTGTCATGTCCCTTCAGATCTTAAGGGATCGCAGCTATACACAAATTCTGTGGATTATCAGGACTTTATGGAGAAAGCACATCCATTGTTTTGAATAGAATTGTATTTCTCCTAGACTGGCTGTCAACCAAGACCAAAGATTAGTTTCCCTGCTATTTAAACCCTACCCGGTTGTAGAATAGATGAATCCATGCCTTTCCCCCAACCCAGGGCATTAATGCAAAAATGAATGCAACACACAAGAACAAAGCTCTGCTCACCGATTCCTTTTTTGTCGACAACCGTTACCCTATCCACAAGTCAATTTTTTACCTGCGTATCATCCCGGAAAGATGCAAGTTTAAGATGGATTTGAAAAAAATAACAAAAAAACAAAACTGTCAATGTTTAAATAAAAATAAATTTAAAACCAAAAAGGAAATTCGCGTTGCCATTTGTTCTACGATTAAGAAAAATTAATCTTTCATGCTACGATATTTTTGTTTTAATAGCCGCATATTTCTACAATCAATTTAATGATGATGCGTCACTTAACAGGAAAATCGTTCCAGACGTTTGACCAGTCCCGTGCAAAACGGTAAAAGCAATTCCAAATTTTCACACACTCACACGCACAAATGACTATTTTCTGAAAGATATAATTTTGGCTTATTAAATGGAAAGGACATTCGGTTTATAAGGCACAATTTAAAAGTGGAAGTTTGGTGGTGCTTTTAGATTTTCTTGTCTTCTATCAAAGTTCATGAACGTAAAGTATTTCGAAATTTCTGCGGCAGATGAAGTTATTTCTAGTGGCATTTCTTTCTGAAATAACACACCTTATATGCACATTGAAAAATAAAGTTAAGCTTGTCACTTGCTTGTCCATATGTAATATGAACTTAAAATTGAGTATCTGCTTGGTTTGAAAAATACTATAAACAACCCATCACGGAACCCCGATATGGTTACAAATGGAATGTAATATGAAAGAATTGATATTTTATAGATTTATTGAACTGGGGTATATTTTATATATATATATATATATATATATATAAGAAACACGCAAAAATAACACAAAGTCGTGTGATAGGCAATATCAACACGCATTTGCTTCTACACATATATATATATACCTACAATACATATACATGAATGTACACCCATACGTGTTATTACCTATATAAACAAACCAACACTTCAAGTGTGCATCTCCGCCCCGATAAAGATATGATATATAATAAATGTTTTTAGGGGGATTTTAAATTTGTTCTTATGTCTTATTACCCATCTATCCTCGCCATTCTCCCTTTCTTTTCCATAACCTCTTATTTTTATTCTCTTTTCATTTCCTAAATTTATTTGTTTTATCTATCTGTATTTAAAATCCCTTCATTTATGTTTAATATTATTATCGTTATAATTTCTATTTTCTTATTTGTATTAAGGACCCCTTTATTAGACTAATTTGTAATTGGGTTGGGGTGTCCTGCCTAAAACAACGTGCCATATCGGTTAATTTGCTGTATAGCTCAATGTACAAAGTTCCAAACGTTAAAGGAAAAAATTCTTGGCCGGGTCAGTCATACACGGGAAAATATATTTTAGGCTTTTTAGAGGCTATATGTATCTTGGGGAAACCAGATTTGTCACTTTAAATCTAATCATATATTTTTAAATACTGTATAAAAACAAAAACGACACAGTATTTTAAATATCATAAGTACGCAATCATTGTTATTTAAAATTCTCGGAAACAGTTAAAATTTTATTTCATTTTCTCCAAAAATGTGTTTACGGTATTTACACACGGCTGAAACCTTTTCAGGGAATGGATTGTTTGTTTGATGATAATGTGGGGCAAAAGAAATATTTGGTTATCATTCCTTAGTTAAAACGGATAATTTTAATCATAAGAAAAAAATGTCACAGAAGTTAACCATATTTTTTTTCTGTTAAGGATTTGTTGAATTCATTCGCATACCTCGACAGGTACGTCCATCCATATTGAGCACATAGCCGATGGGACACGTGCAGATGAATGCGCCTTCTCTGTTCTGGCACATATGCTGACAGGGAGGAGGTCTTTGCAGACATTCGTCAATATCTGAAATTGAAAGAAAACAGGACGGTATTTTCAGTTATCCATGTGCAGAGTTTTCAATATAAAGTCAAGAACTTGATATTTCAGTCTTCATAGCCAATCAAAACAGCCCAAAATATCACAAATTACGAGTAGCATAACCCATTAGGATTGTAGGAACACCACCTGTATTGCAATTACAGCAGCAGTTGACGTATCTAAGGTAGATATTTACTTGACCCCCCCACTGAGGTTGTGACACAAGGTCAGTTTTTAACGTGGGGACCCGAATGTTTTCACTCGGGCCGCTGGTCCAAGCTGGTCTTAGCTGGTCTTGGCTTGTCCTAGCTGGTCCAGGCCGGAGCCGGTCCAAGATAGTCCTAGCCGTGATACCACCAGCCCAGGGACGAGCCCTGTGCCAGGTAAGTATCTTGACGTATTTAGGGTACAAGAAAAATATATGTTAGATAGGTGAGTTATCGCCCTTGGTCAACCGCACTATCTAGAGGTCAAACCAACCAATCAAAAGTCAGAATATGTTGGCGCCAATTATAAAAGAATGCTATTCACTTCTGCTCGGCCCCTTTTCTGTCGTGATCTCCGCTTCAATGCCAGCAATTGTGACATGAGAACCGTACGTAAACTATTCTACAACCCCAAGGACTTCGGTCAAGTTGACTTCTATTGTTTCATTATAACGTATAAGAGGCACGGTGGAGTAATGGATAGCGGCCTGGATTGAGGAATCGGAGAGCCGAGTTCGAATTCCAGTCGAATCCATTACATTCACTTACGTGCTAATACCCTTGGGAAAGGTATGAATCCTCTCTCTTCTTCCTCCAGTTATGGGTAAATAGCAGGACAGACTGGGTTCTACAGCCTTGGATGGCAACTGGTCTAGGAGAAGGAAAACTCTGAATTCAAACCTGCTCTTAGAGGAGGGTGAATGGAGTCTCTCTGAGCCTTGGTTGGCAATCCATTTAGTGTTGGTGTCACAATATTTTTACCCTTGATAGCCCTAGCGAAGCATCAAGAATTCAGCTATTTGACAAGATTATGAACTACACCAATCAAAGTATTGGTGAGTTCAATCTCGGTATAGCCGCAAACAGAACAATTTTCTTGCAACAAAAACTCTTATTTCAAATAGTATTTGTATAACCGAATTTCAATAATATTCTTTTAAACTTTCAATTTAAGTTCCGTGTTCTTCCTGCATTGACTAATATTTGCGGCCCAAATCGCCATGAGAGCAAAAAACACTGACGAAGCCTATCCCACTTCAGTCTAGTTTTGAGTTGCCGTTCTCCTAAACTGGTTGCCACCTAAGGCCAGAGAATTGCTATTTAATCTATAGCTGCGAGGAGAAGAAATGATTCATGTCTTTTCCAAGCGCATTCGTTAGAGAGTATATACGACTAGCCTGGAATTTGAACTAGGCTTTCCAATTCCACATAAATATCCGTTGCCCGACAGGCACATTCAAAAATTAAACTGCTGAATCAACCAAAACGGAACAAAATGATAAGAGAAAAATCATTTAAAATATTCATCGAACAAAATAAGTTTAAAGATAAATCAATTTATAATTCAAGTTCTTATATTTGTTATAATTTAAATAATTTTGATTCAAATCATGTGAATAAATATGTATATCAATCTGTCTGCAACTACGTTTTCTTTATTTCACTTTTCTATCTGGATATTAAATACATTTAAATAATATGAGTTTTTTTTTGTTTCCTTCTCTTCAAAAGCTGTCACCCAGTTTGTGTAAGTGCATGTGTAACAAACAGCACTTAACACTCCAAAGGAGTCAACAAAGAGAAACACATTTTTTTTTCGAACTCAAATGAGAAACTTTTTATACGTTCTTTGTGGAAAAAAAGTTTAATTTTAGTTATTTTACCCTCCTCTACCCAGTGATAAGTTTAACACAAGGTCACAATTAGCGTGGAGCCCCACTACGCGCGTATACTGCGTGGGTGTCAGAAATTGTCAAGCTCTCTCAGCTTTGGGACACCTCAGGCATTGACCCTGACCCTAAAACTTGTAAGAGAAAATGCAGTTTGGAGCGGAACTGACTTCTAGAACTGGATTTTAGTTCATTTTCACGCCAGGGCCAAAAGATGAGAAAGTGATTATTATTTACTAAGCTTAGTTTATGTTGGCACAAGGCTACAAAGATGGGGGATACCTCGTGAGGATCGACTATTTACCCAGTAACAAAATGATTAAATTTAAAAGATAAATCAATTCACATTTCAAGTTCTTATATTTGCTATAGTTTAAATAATTTTGTTTCCCATCATGTGAATAAATATGTATATATTCGATAGATTACGAAATTACCCTACGTTTCTATCGGGTAATTTCTGCTAACAGTCGCTAGGTGGCGTTCTGTAAAACAGTATATAAAGAAAAGGGTACACTTTTTTTTTTATTATTGTTTTTCCTCTTGCGCGGGACTTAGTTCCCATCGAACCACGTGTCACATCAACACACATCCCTGCATAATATCTCTTTTCAGTAACTGTTAAGAGTTAGAATATTAACAACAAAATTTCAGCAGGATTTAAGAAAACTGGAATAGTTGCATTTATTGAAGATTAGAATAATCAAGCACAGAATAAAATGAGGACACTGATTGGCTAAAGAACGGACCAATCATGCTCTCGTAAGGATCAGTAAAGGATATGTAAAGGTCAAATTCAAAAGATTCACCGCTGAAGATGCTAGAAAAATGGTTGTTTTCCTGTACTTCTCTAGTAAATACTCGACCCCTCTTGCTATCCCGTACTTTTATAAGTCAAACGAAGCCGAAATGGAGTATTACTGCCAGGTATAGACTGGCGACGCGAAATCGACACTTTCGAGTTCAAAAGAATCTCAAAAGATGAGTTATTTTCCATCCTACAATACCTTTCCCCACAGACGAAAAGTTGCAAACTTCTCGCTACTTTGATGCTAAGACAAATTACATTCCTTAGTTCTACCAGTTGTAACCCTCACAACCATGCCACGCATATTGTAGTGAACCATTCCCAATTCACTTCGTATTCCATTGGTAAGATGTAAGTTCCACTCGAACACCACTTCCCCATGAACCGCTACTTTGTGGAACCGACCACCAAGAAGATGCCCTCCCCGACCATTAAGAAGATGCTTCCCCGATCACAACAATCTTAACCTATTTAAGGCTATAGGATTGTCCGTTATTTTCCCCACATATACCCATAAACTGTTCTTGTTACCCCGTGATCCTCTACTTCGAGTGGCTTTTGGGCCTTGTACAGGGTGAACATTGTAAAAATATTTACTCAGGCAGCACGATGCAACGCTACTCCTCACCACAAGTCCGATCACTGGTATCAGGTTACGGAAAAACGGAACCGGCAAACCCAAGAAAAATTACTTCTGCTTAAAGAAGCTAGCCGAGGACTAGTTGATAAGATAATTGGATATCTTTCTCCTAAGCTAAGTCCGCAGATGCACACTGTCGGCAACCACGTTTTCCTTATTCTCTTTTCTATCTGGATATTAAATGCATTTAAATAGTACAAGTTGTTTCCTTCTCTTCAAAAACTGTCAGCCAATTCCTGTAAGTGCATGTGATAGCTCTTAACACTTTAAAGGAGTCTTTTTTTCTACAACAAATATATATATAAAAAAAACTCCATAAATTTGGGGTTGTATTCTGGCGTATTATCGTGGATATAATTAACATATATTGAACAGCAAATCACTGACTGTAAAATCTCTCCACATTGGAAACTCAAGAAATCTGACCTTATGCCATACTCGAATAAATCAATCAGGAATTAACATGAAAGAAACATAGGAAAAATGTTAGTTTCTTTTAAGGCTACTCACCGACACAGTTTCGCCCAGTCGTATCTGTTTTGTATCCTTCGTTACAGATGCAAGTGAATGAACCAATGCGGTTTGTGCAACGTCCGTTTTTGCAAATGTTTTGCATTACTTCACATTCATTGATATCTGAAAAAAAAAAAAAAAAAAAATTGTTTTGAAAAACGTGCAACCGAACCAATTTGCATAATGCCGAGGCATTTATTTTGCCTTGATTCTCGTAAATTATAAGCTTTAAAATTTTATTTTCAGACGAATTTCAATATAAAATTTGATAATGTAGCAAGCAAATATTGAATATTTATATTCCATACGCAATCAAATTTTAATTTAATAACAGTTATACTCCATGAAATTTAATGAAAACTTTTTGAACAAGTCAAATTTCGCAAAGAGACTACCTCTCTTTATATATCAGGCTGGTTTTGAATACAAAGTATAGGCTTTCTCTTAGAATGTTTGCGACACAAACTAGACAGGATCCAATCTTCTCTTCTATTTAACCCATAGCTGTGAGGAAAAGAGACGGATCCATCCCTTTTTCACTCACATTTGTGCGAAAGTGAACGCAACAGCCTCGGTCGGCATTTGAACTCCGTTTAACTTTTCACGTTGAATGCGTGAGAAGAGAGACTTAGAACTCAAATGATTATTTGCACACATACAGAATTAGTAAAGTCCGCTTAATAACTGGAAATAAAAATAAGTAAGCGATAAACTATAAGAATATAATTTAAATTCAGTTTAGGATAACTGAGGATTCTTAAATTATTGATGAAATTTCATACGTAATAAACAAAAGACGACAGTATGAAAACCGATTAAACAACAGGAACTAAAAGAAAATATTGATGCGACCAGTTACCGATTATTTGCCGATTAATCGGTTCATTTCTAGCATCTGTCTAAAACAGGGGTTCTTAACCGGGGGTATCCATACCCCTTGGGGGTATAGGAACCAAATGCTGGGGGTATGAGACTCGATTTCTGGGTACTATCTCACTAGATTAGTAAGTCTGTTTTATGTAGTCGAGGTACTAAAAAAAAACTTGCATATTTATGTTCTCTTCCTTTTTCTTGTGTAATAAAACTGAATTATAACTTTATTTTGCTTTCAGTAAAAAAAATATAATAAAGTTATCAATGCTTATGAGTTTTTTCATGCTGTATTCCTAGCAATGCATATCTAAAATACAGTAAATTCAAGCGATTGAAATATTTGGAAGACATACTGGTAAATAATAGGATTGGTAATAATTATTTCGACAGTCAAGGGAAGTGGGTATGGGACAATATTGGGCACTCCATTGGGGGTCTGGAATTATCAAAAGGTTAAGAACCCCTGATCTAAAATATAAAAATCGGGTCAGAGAGAGAGAAAAAAGAAATACAATACGCGTTAAAACTTGAAAGCTTTTTTTTTTTTTTTTCATGATTTCCTTTTCGTCTCGATTTTCAAACATCTACCGCATTCACACGTTCATTATTAGACATTCATTAAAAGGAAAATATCAGCAGTATAAAATAACATTTAATTTCGTTACAATTCGCTGATTTATAAAAGAAGTCCTCAGAAAACATTAATTTGAAAAAACTATTATTCTTGTGAACCAATTCTTACGTACCCGTGCCATTTGGAAGATATCCTATCTCATTTGGACAGATGTCGGCAAAAGTGACTGCAAAAAAATAAAACAATAACATTTACTTTAAAATATTCATTATGACTTTGTAGCTACATTTAAACGATTTTCTTCAAATCATTTTTTGAAAAAATAAAAAGTGATTTATGTGAAACACGTCGAATCAAATTCATATTCATGACCAGAAAAACTAATGTTGTTCAGTACGACGAACAAATCTTATAGTATTTGTTTTTCAATTTATTAACTAACTTTATGCTAATTAACTAAGGCTGCCATTTTAGTTTTGTTGAAGGATCATCTCTACCATATAGACTCGCGTATCATGCGACTTTTGAAGCTCTCATTTTGAAGCTAATTTAACTACAGTACTACAGTAATTAGAAATTAGCTTCAAAATTAGGTCTTCAAAAGTCGCATATACGGTATATAAAATTCTGTGACGTCCGCCGGTCCGTCACGTCCTCTAAAATAGCCATACTTGACCGATAGAAACCAAATATTGTGGAAACAAGTTGAGGGACACAAAATACAGTTGGTTTTACTAGGGTGTATAGCTTAGTACAATAAATTTTTATCTATTGGAAAGAAGAAGTGTTATTATCTAACATACAAAATACTTCCACTATTTTAAAAACAATTTAACGATTAAAATAAAGACTTAATGCAATATTGTCTTTTGCATATCTTTAACTTTTTATATATACAATAATCCCGTTTCCAGTTCGCCTTGCGTTTATTGAGAACTATAAACAAATCCAAAGGCTTCAAAAAGATGGAATTTGGCTCCAGAAAGAAATATTTACGCATGGTAAGTTGTATGTTGCATGCTCAAGAGTAAGAAATCCCAATAATTTTTTCTATTTTCTTAAAAATATTGTTTGCCGAAGTCCTATAAAATTAAAGAAATTATTAAACCACGAAGTAGGGTTTTTGTCAAATATTTTTTCAAGCAAATCAGCGTTGGTGAACGTAACTATTTTATTCAAACTGCCGCTAGATCCATTTTGCTCCCAACATTCCCTAATAGGACCGGAAGTGTTTAAAATCATCATATTCAACATTATTGATGTTGTTATAAACACTTCCACAAAAAATGTTCGAGTGTAACTTACTTCTTACCTTTGATACACGGGGGAAATGGGGGAGTTTCGACAATGGTGTTTAAACAATAATAACAAGAAAAAGCCAGTTTTAAATGTAGAATTTAGCTTGGCAAGTGACAGTTTTGCAGGAGAAAACTATATCTTGATATTGTTACCGGGAAAATAATTACGACATTAAAACACCTTTTCAGGGAGTAAAGTACTTGCACAGTACTTGATATACCCCACTAATAATCGGATTCTTCTTTAAAGTATTGTTTAACGTGTTTTGTGGGGTGGGGGTACTATCACTGGATAAGTGTAAAGAACGGATGCAAGATCACTGACAAGTCTCCAAGATTGCTGGATGATCGCTAGTGTCATTTCATACTTTGAAAAAGAGGCTTAAAAATACAGACCCCAAAATATAGATATGTATCGGACAATAATGAACAAGTCAACCAAGGTTAATTAATATGCTAGCAATTAATAAATTAAATAATATAATCTGCCTCTGCTGTATTTAATATTCTTATAAACAGACGCTCCTCCACCGCCAATCGAACCAGTGCGAGAGAGAGAATTTTTAGAGTAACTTTTTCACGGGCTTCTTTCTTTGTTAAGTGATCAGTAAACGTTTGAAGATAAAAATGTTTCTTACCAGATCCTATTGCAGGGCAACGTTCGCAGGAAGGACCCCAGGCCACAGCCAAGCCAGAACAGCAGCAGAGATATCTGGGGGTACGGAATAAGCTCCTGGTAGGTACACAGCGTCCTTCTGTCAGTTCTTCATAGCAGTAACCTTCTCGAAGATCTGTGGCGGGAAAAGGGCAAATAATACATTATACTGATGGGACGGGTATTCAAAAGGAATTTTAAGATTGCGCGATATACATTAATTAAACGCGGAAAAAATTGAACAATTATGATAATAAAAATTCATGAAAACAAGGTAACAAAAAAAAATTCTTCGTAGTTTTTGATTTATTAGAAGAAAAGCATATACATCAAATTTGATTTACTTTTAGTCTTCAAAGTTATCGCCATCCGGAACCTTTTTGCCAACGTGCCTCTAGCTCCGTAATGCCCTGGCTGTAATAATTAGGTGTCTTAGACGAAAAGAATTTTGTGAGTGCCTGCCACAAGGCTGCTTCATTTACGAAGGATTTCTAACTAAGGTTGTTTGCCAAGAAATGGAAGAGATGATAATCTGTTGGCGCAAGGTCCTGGGAGTAATATGGATGGTATAGTTTCTCCTAGACAAGTCGCCGTATGGTATCAGCCGCGACACATGAGGTCTGGCATTGTCATGGAGGAAATGTGCACTCTTGTGATTAACCAATTTGGTCTCCTTCTTCAGTGCCTGTTGCACACATTCCAACTGCTGCGAGTACAGGTCCGCAGTAATGGTTTGGTTTGTTGGTAGCAGCTAATAGCGCACCACTTGTCGGCTTGTCTACTAAAAACAGAGCATGGTCTTGCGTGAGTGCAGAGGTGGTCTTGCGATGTAAGGCACAAGGTCATGTGGTGAGAACCAATGTCTGGCACGCTTGGTAGTGTCATATAAGACTCACTTTTCGTCACTGGTGAGCACCCGATCAAATACAAGTTGCGCTGCCAAGAAAGCAGCGAGAAACAGGGTATCACTCGTTGTGGCTTGTTGGCTCCCACTTGCCCATTTTGTACGCTTTCCTTATGCGATGCAAGTGAAATATGTGTTTCGCCAGAAATCTGAAAGCGTTCTGAAAGCTCACAACGGGCTTAACTTCAGAGCTTCATCAACAAGAACCTTTGGCCGGCCACTGTAGGGTTCATCATAAAGACATTTCTCGACCTGAACTTGTGGAGTAAATGGATGGCGTTACTTTCACTTAACAGTATTATCCCCAAAGGATCGACGTATTTAGCGACTTGATGCGGCTGCAGAAAAGCCCACCTTAAAGTCATAAAGCAGACAACACCGAGCGAGCTGTGATTCTTGTGTGCGCGCAACGGACCTGCATCGGTCATGAGCCATGCACCACCCCATACCCCAGCGTTTTCCCGGAACGTGACGCACTCATTTGCGTATCAGTGATTACTTCTTCCTATATGACGTTAAAAAAAACACAAAAAACGGTAAAGACTTTTTTGATTACCTTATATTAATATGTACATACCAAGAACATTTAACATCTGTACAAAGAAGCTATGATAAATTTGTATATGCGGATGGTCGTGAGAACATAGTTCGACGTGTGTAGGTATTGGATAGGTCTACAAGTTAACTCAGGGGTAGACAAACTTTTCAGTGAAAGGGCTACATTAAAAAATTCACAATTTTATTGAGCTGCATAACTCAAATAATATTTTGAGTAGACAAAAAAGGCTTTTAAAGAAAAAATGCAATTAATTTTTATTAATTAATATTTTAAAGTACTGTGGAAGATTCACATGAAACGCATTTATTTGAAAGACAAAGTAACTCAGTTTAAAGTACTTTAAAGAAAACTATTGATAAGTATTTTTAAGTTGAAGATTTATATGAAACTCATCTGAAAAACAAAATAGCCTTGTTTTAAAAAAATATTTTTATTAATATTATAAAGTAAAAAAAACATTTATTTGAAAAACAAATTAACTGCGTAAAGAAATAAAAACAATTCTTACTAATATTTTAAAGTAGAAAACTTCAAATAAAACACATATAAAGTAACTACAGTGTAACCCGGATATAAGAGAGTTGTCGGGACCGGAGAAGAAGTCTCTTATATCCGGGTTTATCTATTTTATATACATTAACACAGGCTCTAATTTGAGAGCCGAGAAAATCTCTCTTATATCCGGGTATATCCGGGTTTTTGGGACCAGAGAAAAAATCTATATCCAGGTTTTATTATATCCGGGTCTCTTATATCCGGGTTCCCTTATATCCGGGTTTGGTCTTAACACAGGCTCTAATTTGGGACCGGAAAATCTCTCTTAATCTTTCTCTTATATCCGGGTTTCTATCTTATATCCGGGTTTGGTCTATTTTATATACATTAACACAGGCTCTAATTTGGGACCAGAGAAAATCTCCGGGTTTCTTATATCCGATTTTATATACATTAACACAGTTTCTCTTATCCGAGTTTCTCTTATATCCGGGTTTGGTCTATTTTATATACATTAACACAGGCTCTAATTTGGGACCAGAGAAAATCTCTCTTATATCCGGGTCACACTGTATATTTAAAAGAAAAGAATTTAGATTTTAAAGCAGAAACTTCACATGAAACAGATTTATTTGAAAAACAAAGTAACTCAGCAAGAGAAAGATCTTAATGACTCAATGAGAATAAACGTATCTGACTGCAATCATTTAACAGTTTGTTAAAATTAGGCGTCAAATTGCTTGTAACAATAATTTGGCGTTGCTTGGTAACTCTTTCAAATTTACTAATATTTGACAGGCTGCATGAATTCTTTCGGCGGGCCGCATGTAGCCCGTAGATTGCCCACCCCTGAACTAACGTCTAGTAAATGAAGTTGACGCGTTGCATACAGTTGTGTTAGTGAAGCCTGTTCTTGGCTTCTGATATTTAATAATAGTCGGGTGGTAAGGAGGAATCCGTGTAAAAGCCAGGTACTTGTGTAAAAACAGCAAAAAGAAATAAGCCAAGTGGCAAAATTCAGGTCATTGCAAAAAGCCTTTTGTCAGTTAGGGACGGAAAAAAAAAAAAGAAAGTAAGCGAAATTTAACAATAAAAACATAGACAATACACGAGATTATGTGTCTTGGTTATGATTTGATAAGCAGACAACTCAGCGTCCAGAAAGATTTGAATCAACTTCAACCAACATTTCTGAAAGGCGAGGAAGAAAAATAAAGATCACTGGAGACGATTTTGGTTAGGATCAAGGTCTGCTCAGATCAATAATGACAACATGGGCGAGTAGATCACTGTTCAAAACCAACACGTTCCCCAACAGCCAAAGAGGGAGAATGAGAAAGAGTGCGATGAACTTACCTAAACATTTTTTGCCATCACGGCTTGGCGCGTATCCTGGATAACAGGTGCAACGGTAGCCTCCCTTGGTGTTCCTACAACGACCATTTCCACACGGGTTCCCATTCCTACACTCGTCAATGTCTGTCCGGGAGCACATGGAAAAAAATTACATGCTATAAGTTTAGTTTGAAAACAAATAAAGCAATACGTTAAAAAGAAAGAAAAAAAAAACAAGAAGAAATGAAGAAAAAAAAATGAATTAAAATAGATAAATTATTATACACGGATTTATCCCAGATAGTCTTGATCTTATTTGTTATAGTCATAATTATTATTTGGACCTTTCTGATCTCTGGCCTTCTTCAGGTGTGTGTTGTAGTTGGCAACTTTCTTGAAATTTCGAACCAGCCCCTTTATTCAATCCCCGGGGGTAAAGGAGGATTGTGAGGAGTCGTTTGAGTAAATCAGTCAATGATAACGATAAGTCTTCATCTCATAAATACGGTTTTTAAAATATCTTATTGGAGAAAAATATTAAACAGTTTCACCAATACATTAACATTTTTTTTAGTTGAATGGAAGAAGTTAAAAAAAAAAAAAAAGAATATCAGAGGCTGTGTGTGTGTGTGTGTGTGTGTGTGTGTGTGTGTGTGTGTGTAATTATTGCTTTTAGAAATATTTCATAGTTTTAGAGTTTCATTTTTGTTAATTCGAAATTTATATAGTTTTTACGGATTAGGTACTAAACTTATGATAGTCTTGAGTATTAAACTCAGGATATATTTTCAGGGGAAATTATGATCGTCACTATGCGTTCTTCGCTTGTAAGTGACAGAGTGAATGTTAACTAGTTAATAATCTTAGATAAGTTGTTCTCAACGGGGAAGGAACATGGTTACCTTAAAGGAGGCCAAGTAGGGAAAACTAAGAAAAGAATTCTTAAGGTCGATACTAGTAAAATAGAAGAAGTCATTAAAAGCTTTTTCCTCAATATATTTGGCTGAGTGTCGATGCTGCAAGTTAGACAAATCCAAGAACAAAGTTGAGTTCACCGTAAAAGGTGGCCTTCGATCACCATTTAGACACATAATTTGGACCCTGATATTATAAAATTTGCCGGGAAAAAAGGCCCAAGGATCGTCCTTTGCCTGATAGCCGATAACCGTTTCCTTTCATACAGCTGGTCTTGTCCAGCAGGGGTCGGAATGTTCAAGTTTATTTTGTTTTTTAATAAATTTCTGCCGATTTCCGCTGTGTCCCAGAACATGGGAAGAGTTTTAAGAAAGAGAGAAAAAAGAAATTGACAATGGCTATTGATTTGTTTTCTACTACTTGTCAACCCTTTTCAGATTATTTAAAGCCGTTTTTTTATTTTCTTTTCACATAATGATTTAGTGATACTAATTAACTCCTAGCTGGGGGAGAAGAGGTGGATTCACACCCTTCGCAAGGGGTATTTGTGTGTAAGTGAATATAACTAACTCAACTGTAATTTGAACTCTGCTCTTCTGTTAACAATTCTGTACATCCAAGGTTACAGCACATGGCATTCCCAAGTAGTCACTCCTATAGACATTGACCAGGCTCAATGTTGCTTAACTTCGTTGATCGTACGGAAATGAATGGCCATAGCAAGTGTAAGCAATCCCATTCTCACTATTGGTATATATATATATATATATATATATATATATATATATATATATATATATATATATATATATATATATATATTATATATATATATATATATATATATATATATATATATATATATATATATATATATATATATATATATATATATATATATATATATATATATATATATATATATATATATATATATATATATATATATATATATATATATATATATATATATATATATATATATATATATATATATATATATATATATATATATATATATATATATATATATATATATATATATATATATATATATATATATATATATATATATATATATATATATATATATATATATATATATATATATATATATATATATATATATATATATATATATATATATATATATATATATATATATATATATATATATATATATATATATATATATATATATATATATATCTCGAATGTCCATATTCATCCCTTATTTATGAACTAATTTTCCCCGTGAGTTTCTGATACGCCTCAATCAAGCAGTCTTTGACACACACTGCGCGGTGTCACGTTTCTAGCCATTTTCTCAAATGCACAAATATTCGGTTCATATATTCCTTTATTCGAAAACAATTACAGCATGAAATTCATTTTTCTTGCCTGTTAGTGAAGGGCCACTTTTCATGACAATAGGAAAGTATTGTAAATCGACCGAACTTAATCAATATTTGATTTCAGTTTCCATTTCTTGAAGAAGGTGTGATTCACAAAGAAAATCAATCAATCTACTTGGCATTTATTGAATCGAATCCATTTTGATATTATATATTTCATGCAGATGACCAAGAAAAAAAAAACACATATCTTGATTGGCTTACGAGTCGTTTAGCTAAATCACTGCGCTTAAGCCTTAGCGTGATAGAAGTTTTTGGCATGGAAAAAACTTTAATGTAAAAATAATAATCCTGTTGCATTAATATGAACATGCGTGGATCTTGTGCAAATTGGAAATCGGGAAAACATGCACAATAACTAAAGAGAAATGAAGCCAGGCCATTGCAAGTAGAAAACGATAATTGAAAGCCAAAGGAATTGGTAAATGAAAATGCCAAGCATAACAAACGAACGAGTAAGAAAAAAAAATGCAACAATCATTTAATCTCACTTGAATTATCATCATTGCCGTGTTGGAAGAAAATATGACAAAGTCGGAACATTTGATATTTAACCCCAAAATGGGACGATGGGCATCAATGGGTTAAAGTTAGAATGGGTTAAATTTCAAATACATAAACGTTACCATCGACCGAAAAAAAAAAAAAAAAAAAAAAAAATGAATTTCGGAAAAAAAGTTATTGGAAAAATTGTCTAATTTACATTATAAAAGATTCAGTGTCAGATTTTATCTTTAGTTTGAAGTCCTTTTACAGGACAATACGCATTACATACATTTTTTTTTCCTATTTTGTTATTCGATTAACCAAATATAATTTTCAGAAGTTAGTTGAAGTCATGATAAATATTCCATGTGAATTTAATCTTATAAGTATCTGCCCTTTTTAAAATTATTTGGTGGTGTGAGATTATTTTATGCGACTCGTAAAAATCTATTATGCACAAGACACATATGTGCAGTAGAGTTATTTTTAAATGTAAGATATATGACAATTGCCATGGATTGTAAGACATATATATGTAAAGGGTGGTCCTAAAGTCTTGTCACCCCTACATAATATAATTTTCTGTTACAGATGGCTGACACGAGCTCCTACATATTGGAAGAGAGGTAGGTGTGACAAGACTTTCGGACCACCCTGTAGATCGTTTCATTGTCATTGGGTGCTCTATATTTGTGTTCTTGTGCTAGACTAAGAATGGAAGCACTTGCGGCAGAACGATAGTTTGGTAGGATAATCTCGCAGACTATTTGCTTGTAAACATTTCGATCCCCATTGCGTGTCAGGTAAATTCAATAAATACCCAAGGCGCCCGTCGTAGAATGATTTCACACGGTAGACTGTTGCAAGAGTTCCGTTTCTGCTTTGCCATCAGAGACATAACTAAACTTAACACGAATAGAGAGTTAGGAAGCTACTCTTGCTAGTGACTGCAAATAGAGTTTAACAAGAGGCTTTAGGCTAAAAAAGTAACCAAAATTGACTATCTTGTCTCTGGAGCAATTTAACAAGCGGGATTTGTATACCATTATCTCTTGTGAACGTGATCCTCACTGTTGGCTAAGTTATTGGGACACTGAATTAAAGTTACAATTCATACGTGTTTACTTATTAAAATAAAGAGATGTTATCTTTGTTAGCAAATATTAATAATAATAAAATATAAAGAAATAAATGACCCTGGGGTTGAATAGGCGAATACTTGCATCTATGTTTACATACGAGAAGATGAACTTTTCTGGCCCGACCCACTCTTCAAATTCTTACCAATTTTTTAAAGACAGGATTTCGTTGGGATGAGAACTTTTCTCCACCCTCGTAGTGACTAAATTCCGATCGTACAAGACTGGCAACTGAAAGAATCTTGGTTGCATTTTTAACGCCGATATACAGTATATGTCAACAAGTTTTCAGTTTTTCTTAGTGCTTCCCACCGACTTTACCGCTACTCCACATTCGAGCTTTGTTTTAGTCGTTGCCTTAATCTAAATAGTTTTGAAATTTTAGAGAAAAAAAAAAAAAAATGTTGACTATTAAAGTTTCTAAGTTTTAATTTTTTTACGTAAAATATTTTTACCCAATATTTATTTAAACTTTGTTTCGACTCCCAATCTGTGCGTTCTGCTTAAAAAATATCAGGAAGAAAGGGATTGTCAGGAAATAAGGAAAAATGTGTTGAAAAATATGAGTATCAAATGTAAACTGTCGTTATTTGAATTGCAATTTGGTCCTATTGTTATCCGATAATTAAAAAATTTAACTTTTATAATTTATGTAAGAGTAACCGGCATATTTGGGAATACAATCCAGATTAGACGTTTAAAAAGAAAACCTTTCCATAAAATGATAAACCGATTGATCTACTATTAAGAGTAGTAATGCACAACCCCCCGCCCCCACAAAAAAACAAAAAAGAAAAAACAGAAAAAAATAAAAATAAGATCTAAAACAAATTTCTCTATAATCTTAGAATGTAAGGCATGTCAATCCAATGATATTGGGATTTAGAAAAGAGACGACTTTAGAATTTACAAACTTCTAAAAATCGACCGACGCTTGTTGTGATGAGGTTTTTCGGGAAGAGAATTACGATCAGAGCATCCTCATTTTTTAGTAGTCGCCTCAGTAAGTATCAAATATTCAAGAAGCCGTCAATAAAAATCCGATTGCCAAAACATCATTCTTTGATGATTATAAATATTAAGGGTTGCGAAATCGGTTTCTGCAATAGGGTAGGATAACTCGAAACAACACCAGCCATGCCTCAGTTTCACCATCACGTTTATAACTATGTAACGTTCTAAAACTATG